TGAAACAGTTTTTGAGCTTATTTATTATGTGCCTGAGTCACCAAGTTAACAATTCCAGCAGACAGGGAAGGTGATAGCCTAGTGGTATTATCACTGGACTGATAATCCAGAGATCCGGGTAATGTTCTGGGGATCTGGGATTGAATCCCGCTACAGCAGTTGGTGGAATTTTCATTTAATAAAGAATCTACAATTGAGAGTCTAATTATGGCCATGAAACCATTGCCAATTGTTGGGAAAAACCCATCTGGCTTACTAATGTCCTTGAGGGAAGGAAACTGCCATACTTACCTGGTCTGGCCTACATGTGACTCCAGACCCACAGCAAACCCTCCAGACTCTTAACTGTCCTCTGGACAATTAGGGATGGGCAATAAATGCTGAGCTAGCCAGTGATGCCCTCATACTATGAATGAATAAATAACATTGGGATAATCGACATCCTTCAAATAAAATCACTTTCAAAACTAAAGATTAATGACAATATATTCTCTATATTAATTCTGTTCATCATAGATGACTCCCATTGGAAAAAAGGTTTGACATGTTATTAATGTAACTTAGACACAAAGAATTCCAAACTGACCAAAGCAATATTTTAATAATGCACTAACATGTTGACATTTCCAATTCTATTTGCACTGTGGTTGGGTCCATAAAAGTCTGAATTGAATAGGTTTGTGCTCCTAATACAACAAATTGTTTAACTTGTTTTGTCGATCCAATCTAGCTTTGAAACACTTACTTGCGAAGAGTATTGTTGTTTTGAACCCTCTTCACTTCGTCCTCCAATTGCTGAATGCGTCGTAGTACATGCATGTGTTGTTGTTGAAGAACTCCAAGCCAAAGCTCATCCCACAGCACAGTAATTCTCCGTAACTCTCCAACCAGCATCTGGACCTACAGTACCAGCATATTGAGAAGTTAAAATAGATTAAAATCTTATATGACAGAGCACCAGAAATTCAAAAACAAGTGAGCACTAAATCCTCATTTTGTAAGTTTATTTCAGTCATTTCACAAACTGCAGAAATCACTTCAGTTTTAAACAAAAAACCCTCACGTTTTAAACAAAAAACCCTCACTTTTCAAACAAATCCAGGGTTGCAAGATTGTAAAAGATTAAAGTAAGTATTTGTGGGTTTTGACATTTACCCAGTATAGCCAGAATTAATCAGTGTAAATCTGCATATGTAACTATATACTCAACAATATGGAATTGTTGGCATCTCAGTTAATATCCACCACCTTTAGCAGCTGGCACCCAGATTTTAATTCTTGGACAGTGATGCAGGAGTGCAAATAATTTATCTTCAAGCACAGTGGGCATAAACGGGTTATGAAGAGGCATTAAGACTGGCGCACAAAATCTGTTGCGTGTAAGTTATTAATATGAAAGTTTGTCATATGCCCAGTTTTGGAGGGGGAAAGAAGTTACTAAATATTGCTTCATGACTAATTACACAACTGCCAACAACTGAGGCTGCTCTACTAATTAACAAATAACTTTGAAGGGAAGGTGGAGAATTTGAAATAAAAACAAAGTGCTGCAGAAACTCAACAGGTCTGAAATTTTGAAGACAAGTCATATCAAATTCAAAATATTAACACTCTCTCTCCATAGGTACTGCCAGAGCTGCTGAGTTTCTCCAGCACACTGTTTTCATTTCAGTTCTCCACGGTCTGCAGTGTTTTTTTTTGTAGGTAAAGATATGCCATTCTGATTTGATACAATATCGGACTGGTGGCATTTGCAGATTATGACACATGCTAATATTTTCCAGAACACAATTCACAGGATCACGCACTTCAGCAGCAGACATTTCTGTGCCAAGTAGCTTAGCTTTCAAGTTTCGTCAGTAGTATGATTTTATTTTTAAAAAAATCCATAGGATGCTGTCATCCTGTTGTTTGTTAGCAGCCACCAGAAGGTAATAGCACATCTTCACTTCTTTGTTCCGAGTTGACCAAGTTCCAGGTTTGGACAGGTTTTGGTGACAAAGCAGTGAGATGTAGGCGAAGTAGCCCATTCAGCCCATCCAGTCTACTCTGTCACTCAGAAGAAATCACAGCTTATCTGATAGTCCTCAACTCCAAATTCCAGCTTCATCCCCATAACCCTCAATTCTCTCACTGTTCAGATTGTAAGAGACATGAGCATGAAGGTTTTGGAAAGTCTGTGGAATCAAAGCATCTAAACAAAAAACTATAATTCTTACTGCAATTCAGTGACAACATTCACAGTACCTGTAAAACCATGGTAGGATTTGCTGATGACAGCTTATCTACTATTGTGCTATAGCAGTCCTGCATCATTGCTTGATCTTCATTAAAGCAAGTTTTCTGTTCATCTTTGATACTGTCTTGTGATCCAGGAGGACTATTTTCTTCACACTCGCCTCCAGATAAGGCTTCAGCCTGGATATTACTCAGCAAGGTAGGAATTGCAGATGACAGTTTGGCTCCTGAAGAAGAAGTGGTACAAATTTCTTTACATGTGAACTGGAAAGAAGCTGAACCAATATAAAAAGCAGTAACCTAGATTAGCCATTAAAAAGCAGCTTTCTCCGCATATACTCCAAGACTTCATGCTAAGGGCTACTTAAAATTCATTTGGCACAATTGCAACAAGTTTATTTCGTCTCAGAGTCAGAGCATAGAAACAGACCCTTCGGTTCAACACATCTGTGCAGGTATCCTAAATTAATCTAGTCCCATTTGCCAGCATTTGGCCCATATCCCTCTAAACCCTTTTATTCATGCACCCATTCGGATGCCTGTTAAGTGTTGTAACTGTACCTGCCTCCACCACTTCCCTCTGGCAGCTCATTCCGTACACACGCCACCCTGTGTGGAAAAAGATGCCTCTTAGGTCCTTTTTAAATCCATCTCCTCTCACCTTAAACCTATGCCCTCCAGTTTTGCACTCCCTACCCTGGGAAAAAGACCTTGGCTATCCACCCTATCCATGCCCCAAGTTATTTTATAAACTTCTAGAAGGACCCCCTCATCCTTCAATGCTCCAGGGAAAATAACCCCAGCCTATTCAGCCTCTCCCTACAGCTCAAACCCTCCAACACCCTTGAAATGGTTCAGAAAAGATTTACAAAATTAACATCTTTCCTACAGTAGGGAGACCAGAACTGAACACAGTATTCCAAAAGTGGTTTAACCAATGTCCTGTACAACCGCAACATACCATCCCAACTCCCATATTCAATGCACTGACTGATGCAGGCAAGTGTACCAAATGCCCTCTTCATCATCCTGTCTACCTACAACTCCACTTTCAAGAAACTATGAACCTGCACCCCACAGTCTCTTTGCTTGGTAACACCCCCCAGGACCCTACCATCAAATGTGCAAGTCCTGCCCTGATTTGCCTTAACAAAATGGAATACCTTATATTTATCTAAATTAAACTCCATCTCCCACTCCTCAACCCATTGGCCCATCTGATCGAGATCCCGTTGTACTGATGTAACTTTCTTTACTGTCCACTACACCTCCAATTTTAGTGTCATCTGCAAATTTACTAATCATTCCTCCTGTATTCACATCCAAATCACATTTGTATAAATGACAAAAAGCAGTGGACTCAGCAGCGATCCTTGCAGCACACTGCTGCTCACAGCTCCAGTCTGAAAAACAACCCTCCATTACCATCCTCTGTCTCCTACCTTCAAGCCAATTTTGTATCCAAATGGCTAGCTCTCCCTGGATTCCATACGACCTAACCTTGCTAGCCAGTCTAACCATACGGAACCTTGTCAAACACCTTGCTTACGTCCATACAGTCAGCATCTATCACTCTGCCTTCATGAATCTTCTTTGTGACCTCATCAAAAATCTCAATTAATTTGGAGAGAGACGATTTCCCACACACCAAGCCCGAATCAGTCTTTGTCTTTCCAAATACATGTAAATCCTGTTCCTCAGAATTCCTTCCAACAACTTACACACCATTGACACCTGGCTCCCTGGTCTATAGTTCCATGGCTTCCTAACACTAAATAATGGCACCACATTACCCAATCTCCAGTCTTCCGAACCTCACCCATGGCTAGTGATGATGTAAATATCTCAGCAAGGGGCCCAGAAATCACTTCCCTAGCTTCCCACCAGTTCTGGGATACACTTGATCAGGTCCTGGGAATTTATCCACCTTTCTGCATTTTAAGATGTCCAGCACCACCACCTGTAATATGGACACTGAGCTATCACTATTTATTTCTCCAAGTTCTTTAGCTTCCATATCCTTCGCCACAGTAAATATTGACATGAAATACTTGTTTAGTATCTCATCCATCTCCTGCGGTTCCAGACACAGATGACCTTTAAAGGGCCCTATTCTAGTTACTCTTTTGCACTTAATGTAGTTGTAGAATCTCTTTGGATTCTCCTTAACCTTATCTGCCAAAGCTATGTCCCTTTCTGCCCTCCTGATTTCCCTCCAGTGTACTCCTGCGGCCTTTACCCTCCTGTAGGGATTCACTTGATCCCTGTTGTTTATACATGACAGATACTCCTCCTTTTTCTTGACCAAAGCCTCAATTTCTCTAGTCATCCAGCATTCCCTGCACCTACCAGCCTTGCCCTTCACACTAACAGGAACATACTGTCTCTGGACTCTCGCTATCTCTTCTGAAAGCCTCCAACTTTCCAACCATCCCTTTACATGTGAATAGCCTCTCTCAATCATTTTTTGAATTTTCTTGCCTAATACCGTCAAAATTGCCCCTACTCCAATTTAGAACGTTAACTTTTAGATCAAGTCTATCCTTTTCCATCACTATTTTAAAACTAATAGAATTAAGGTCCCTGACACCTCGCTCATGGTGACAAAGTATTTCATACTGTGGTAGAGGAAAAAGGGCATTTACCTATTCAATAGGAGGCTACAGCCTTACACCATTCTTGTAACATCCTGTATACCCAAGAGAAGAAAAACTGAAGGGGAAATGGAATATTTATGGGATGTTTGTAAAGTAAAACAAAAAGTACATTTATGGTATTCCATCTTTTATAATGTATAGAAAAATAATTTCTTGATTAAAGTAATTAAGGGTTGCTTCTCTTTGAAGAAGTTAAGGTTTCTGTAAACTGAACACTTATTCGTTAACAGCTCTAATAATTTTAGCAGTGACCTTGCTAACAGTAGGTTAAGATCTAGACAGAAATGTTAATTACCAGAGGATTGGGATTCACCACTGAGTGATATTGAGCCAACGATAGCAGGATACAGGATAAGATGAGGAGAATCCTGAGCTACTCGACACAGCAAATTGCAAATGCTCTGACGTACATAAACCTCAGGGTGATTCAAGCGTGAGAACAGCTGTGGAATAATACCTGAAACAAAGGCCAGACTAAATATAAATGTTGTGCAGAGACATGTGGAGACAATGTAAAGCTTAATTATTATTGATTACATTCAAGTCATTATCAATAAAAATATGATTTGTTAATATACAAAAATACAATCAAGATTTTTCTAATTTCAGTTCTAGTGAAAACTGCACAAATGATTTCTTATTTCATTATAGAAGTGGTAGACATTGCCTGTTCTGATAGGTTTTTGCACAGTTTCACATTTCAATGACTACCATTCTATTGAAAAATAATTAAAAGAAACAGTATTAACTTAAGGCTAAGACAAGCCTTGTGCACAAGACATCTGTTCATTCAGTTGCTGCAGATACGTAGAAATTATAGGGATATGTTTGAGATCGAATACCACTTCAACAGTGGTCAGTTCTTCAACTGAGTGCAAGACAGAATTATGCACCTAATTAGTCTCTAGGAATCACTTCAACCAGAGACTTGTAAATTTTATCCTATTTCGCAGTGATTAATTTTTGCTGAAACCTGCTGCTTTTTGCCAGTCTTCAGAGGGCCTTATGACTGCTGTGAAGTTTCATCTCGTTTCAGCTCGAGGAACTCCGCATATATTTTGAACACAATTATTTATAGGCTTTATATTACTTTCAAATTCCCACAAGAAAGGCAATTAATCTTCTAAGCATTTTTTACTACATAATGTCTTTGTTCATTGAGTCCAAAGGGATTTTCTAAAATAATGACAAACAGATTCAGGGGAGGCAGTTATAGCTATTACCTATTTTCAATTAGTATTTTCACAACCATTTCCTGTTACCTTCTCTATATTCAGTTCACGGAATCAGATTGCTGTATAATAAACTCTGAGGCAGAAACACAGCCCAAAACTGTAGTGAAAGTCATTGATAGGATCTGGGTCTAATATGTTTGAGTTTCAAAGTGCACTACAGATATTTTACAGGAAGCAAGCTCCAAGACCAGTACTTCTGAGGTCATCCAGTTAAGTTTGAGAGACACCAACAGTCTCACAAAAACCTACAAGTTACAATCATTGGCTCTTATATCAGCTTCAGACCATTGAAATATCAAGCAGTGTTTGTTATTTTTGACCCCAGAACATATATGCTAATTTCTATAAGTTACTATACATGATTTTATTACCTATTATTTGTGCTAATCTATCACTCCTAGTAAATGTGTAGCCAATAGCCTAAACAAGGGTCTGATTAGCTTTTATCCTATAATTACACAAAATCTGACAGATCACAAGAGACCAAGTGACATATGCAGCAAGTTAAATACGTGTTTTCTGTTCAACTCTGTAGCACTATTATAATGCCATTTACTATGCTGCAAGGTTACATTACTATTTAAAAGAAGAAAGTGAGATTCTCTATACTGTGTCCAAAACACAATGTCTGGAATGTACAACATAAGAGACACCAAGATGCACATCAGTAATTCTGTGCTATACAAGCCTCCTTTCAGCCTGTTCATCTCACCCCATTAACAAACTATTTTATTCTTCTCTCCATCAAATCTATAAAACCTTCTTTAAAATATATCACTCAGAGATAGCAAGAACTGCAGATGCTGGATGCAAAGATAAGAGTGTGGAGCTGGAGCAACACAGCAGGCCAGGCAGCAGAGGAACAGGAAAGCTGACGTTTCAGGTCGGGACCCTTCTTCAGAAATGGGGAGGGGAAGGGAGCTCAGAAATATTTAGAGCGAGGAGGGGTGGGGCAGGGGAAGGGTAGCCGGTGATAAGTGAGTGCAGGTGGTGGGGATTGGTCAGTGAGGGGGGAGGGGTGGTTAAGTGGGAGAAAAGATGGACAGGTTGTGTCAAGTCAAGGTGGTGAGAGGGAGGAGGGGTGGGGCTGGGAGAGTGGAGGTGGGAAGGCGATAGGTGGATGCAGGCGGGGGTAGTGGGGATTGTCATCTCCTTGACCTGACTCAACCCCTCCATCATCTTCCCCACCTATCCGCCCCACCCTTCCTACCGACCAATTCTAACTATCCCCTCCTCGCATCCACCTATCACCATTCCACCTACCTTCCCCATCCCCTTCCCTCCTCCCTCTATTTATTTCCCAGCTCCCTTCCCCTTCCCCTTCCCCCCACCCCACCCAGTTCTGAAGGGTCCCAACCCAAAACATTGACTTTCCTGCTCCTCTGATGCTGTTTGACTTGCTGTGCCCCTCCATCTCCACACTGTGTTGACTCTAAATACATCAACTATTCCTCATGATCAAAATTCACATTCTAACTATACTCTTGGTGAAGTAGCTTGTTCCAGATTTCCTACGTAACTGTTCAGTGTGCACCTTATATTTATAGTCTCACCTCAATGCCCTCTCACAGAAAGGACCTTTAAGTTTATTCAAGATTTGCTCAAAGACAATCTCTAGATCACAGATCATAGAATCCCTACAGTGTGAAAACAGGCCCTCCGGCCCAACAAGTCCACACCAACCCTCAGAGCATCCCACCCAGACCAATCCCTCATTAACCCACCTACACACCCCTGAACACTACGGGCAATTTAGTATGGCCAATCTACCCAGCCTGCACATCTTTGGGCTGTGGGAGGAAACTGGAACACCCGGAGAAAACCCACGCAGACACGGGGAGAATGTGCAAACTCCACACAGACAGTCGCCAGAAAGTGGAATCAAACCTGGGTTCCTGGTGCTGTGAGGCAGCAGTGCTAACCACTGAGCCTCTGTGTGCCAATTCCTTAGAGCGTAGAGACCAGAACCACGTACAGTGTGGTCTAATGAAGATTTTAGACAAGTTTAACACAGAACAGAAAAGCAGTGGTTTTATCCCTCAAAACTTGACATGCTTTTTTTTAAAATAACATTGGCTACTTCTAATGATTGATGCAAATCTATTTGCTCCTCCAGCCTAGTTAGGTAGTACCAGAGTTCTTTTGCTCTTCCTACCAGAATGCACCTTTACTGAAATTAATTTGTCAATTACAAGATATTAATAAACTTGGAGAATTTGTACGTTGATGCCTGCTCTACAGCATTACAATAACCTTCAATATGTAGCTGCAAATTTCTCATGCAAATCAGAACAGTACCAAGAACTGTAGTCAATGTAGAAACTTTACATTGTCACTTTGATAAGACATCACATCTAAATTTTAATCTGTTCTAGCATCATTTCAATCTATAACAAGGTTGCCCAAATATTGAACACATTTCAATCTATTCTCAGAGCATAAACAGAAAACTCATCATCAGCAGTGATGTAAGGGGACATATATCGTTGCGAGTTCACACTTGCCTCTCCATGGAGCTGTGGGAGTGGTAGCTAGACCATGCTCCAAGCCTTCTCGGAGCTCACCAGCATGTTTCACTAATAATCTTAGCAACCTCAGAGTAGCCATAACAATGACATCATCATTGCTTTGCTTGGTGGGTGTATTATTAAGCATCACCTTGGGATCTTCACCATCCACGTGAACCTGCAAAGGTAGCAATATACAGCATTAAAAGGAGTTGAATTTTACAAATTTACTTTCCAAAATGAAAGGGTTAAAATATTAACCAGGTCAGTGGATTAAATTGCATTACATTTTGCAAAGTAATTTTGAATGTAGGAAATATTCTAAAGGTTTAATATCGAGGGGGCTACAGGAAAAATGATGATACACAAGAAACCTTATAACGCTGATACAATGCTGTTTAGGCAAAGAGCAATTTCAAATCAAAAGTAAACATGAACAATAACAAACCCATCACCCCATCTGCAGGCATGTTTTTAAAGGAAATATGCTGTCACCACGATAACCAGACAGACTTGAATCCACAAAGATTCATTTTAAATTGCACAAAGATTGTTTTCCCTTCCATTGTTAACAAATTGTATTCTGATCACTCAAGGGCAACTATTTTCTACTATATTCACTGCTCACAATGTGGTCTCTTCCACATTCGGGAGATGAAGCAGAGACTGGGTGATCACTTTGTGGAATGCCCACATTCTGTCCATAAAAATTACCCCGAGCTTCCTGTTGCCTGCCACTTCAACACACCGCGTTCTCTGGCCAACATTTGTCTCTCAGACACGTTGCATTGCTCCAGCGAAGCTCAGTGTAAAAGAACCGCTGTTCATTTTCGCTTGGGGACCATTCACCTTCAGGACTCAATATCGATAATTTGCACCACACAAAGGCCAGGCTATGACCATCACCAAAGAGAAAATCCAACCACTGTCCCTTGACATTCAATGGTGTTACCATCACTGAATCCCCCACTAACATCCTGGGGGTTACCGCTGGCCAGAAACTCAACTGGACTCATTACATAAAGACAGTGGTTACAAGACGTCAGAGGCTAGGAATACCATGATGAGTGTTCTGACTCCCCAAAGCCTGTCCACCATCTACAAGGCACAAGTCAGGAGTGTGATGAAAAGCAAATCAGAGGGCAGCTGAGTCATCACAGCAGACTTCTGGGAGACATCGCCACAGTCATTGTTTGGACCACGTACACATTACCAGAGAGGAGGGGTTTGCAGCCTTAAAGCGCATTAAGGTGGATAAATCCCCTGGGATTGATCAAGTCCATCCTTGGACATTGTGGGAGGCTAGTGAAGAAAATGCAGAGGACCTTGTAGAGATTTTTGCTTCACCTCTAGCCACTGGTGAAATTCTGGAAGACTGGAGGGTGGCTAATGTTGTTCCATTGTTTAAGAAAGGTAGCAAAGACAAGGCAGGGAACTACAGGCCAGTGAGCCTGACATCAGTGGTAGGCAAGTTACTGGAGAGGATACTGAGGGACAGAATCAACCAACATTTGGATAGCAGGAAGCAGAGGGTGATGGCTGAAGACAGTTTCTCAGACTGGAGGCTTGTGACTAGTGGTGTGCCACAAGGGTTGGTGCTGGGACCTTGGTTATTTGTTATTTACATAAATGATTGAGATGTGAACGTACAAGGCATGATTAGTTCGTCTGTGGATGATGCAAAATTAGGAGGTATCATTGATAGTAAGGAAGGTTATCAAAAATTACAGAGGGATCTTGATCAGATGGGGAAGTGGCCTGAGGATTGGCAAATATAATTCAATACAGTTAAGTGTGAGGTCAAACTAATGTACGACTTTAGCATTTAATGTTAAGGTACTGAGCAGTGTTGTGGAACAGAAGGGCCTAGGAGTACAAGTACATAGGTCATTGAAAGTGTTGTCATAGGTGGACAGGGTCGTGAAGGCGGCATTTAGCATGCTGGCCTTCATCGGTCAAGGCATTGAGTATAGGAGTTGGGACGTTATGTTACAGTTGTACAAGTCATTGGTGAGGCTGCACATGGGAGTATTGCGTACGGTTTTGGTCACCGTTACAGGAAAGACGTAGTTAAACTGGAAAGTGTGAAAGAAAGTTTACAGAGAGGATGTTGCCAGGACTAGTAGGCCCGAGTTATAGGGAGAGGTTGGCCAGGATAGGGCTTTATTCCTTGGAACATAAGAGAATGAGGGGTGACCTTATTGAGGTGTATAAAATCATGAGGGGCATAGATAGGATGAATGCATATACTCAATTCCCCTTCCCTAGGGAAAAGAAAACTAGAGGGCATAGGTTTATGGTGAGACGGGATAGATTTAAGGTGGTCTGGAAGTGCAACTTCTTCACACAGAGTGTTGTGTTTCTGGAATGGGCTACAGGAGAAAGTGATGAAGGTAGGAACAGCAGCAACATTTAAAAAGCATTTGGACAGGTACATGGATGAGAAGGGTTTAGAGGGATATGGACCAAATGCGGGCAATTGGAACTAGCTGAGTGGGCACCATGGACCAGTTTGGGCCAAACGGCCCGATTCCACGCCGAGTCACTCTGACTCTGACTTCCCACTTGCCTAGATGGATGCAGCTCCAATAACACTCCAGAAGCTTGACACTATTCAGGACAAAGCAACCCGCTTGATTGGCACCATCCACTCCCTCCACCACCGATGCTCAGTAACAGTAGTGTATACTATCTATAGGATGCATGATAGAAACTCACCAAAAGATCCTCAGACAGCACCTTCCAAACCCACAACCACTTCCATCCAAAAGGACAACAGCAGCAGATACATGGGAACACCACCACCACCTTCAAGTTCCCCTCCGAGCCACTCCCCATCCTGACTTGGAAATATAATCGCTGTTCCTTCAGTGTTGTTGGGACAAAATCTTGGAATTCCCTCCGTAAGGGCATTATGGGCCAACCTACAGCACATGGACAGCAATGGTGCAAGAAGGCACCTCACCAGCAAGGGCTCTTCTTAAGGACAAGGGTCGGAAATAAGTGCTGGCCCAGCCAGCGATGCCTACATCCACAAGTGAATGAAAAAAAATTCAATAATTTTAGAGCATGAATACCTATGTCCTTCAGCCACACGAGGCCCTGTCATAACGTGGCTGCTTTCAGTACAGCCAGCCTACTTTCACCTACTCATGGTCCCCATTATCAGCATTTCTTCCTCCCTGGCTTACTATCAACCAGGCCTTTTGTTGCCTTCGTTTCTCTGTGGCCTCCATCTTCACTTTTCTACTCATTCCCTTCGCTCTCTCTCCCCTCAACACCTGTCTTCAGCGTGTCTATCACCTTTTCCTCATTACTATCAGTTCTGAAGAAGGGTGACTGGACTCAGTGTTAACTCAGCTTACTCTCCACAGATACTACAAGAACTGCTGAGTTATCTGCTTTCGAGTATCTTGAGATTTCTTCCCCACTACATTTCACCACAAACAGATGAGCTTCAGTAATAAAACTTTTTTTTTTTTCAGTTTTATGTGCATCAGGTTCCAGCAGAAACGTGGATCAATACAAAAAAGCCAACTCTCTATAGATTGTCAGTCACCTCAACTCAATCCACTAAGCTTTCACTATCTGTAGACATCAACAATTCATAAAGAATTTCACAGATCATTAATAAGCAATCGAAATCTACGATTTTCCCTTTCACACCAGATATTGCATAATTTTCAGAAAATGTGAAGCCTAGTCAAAGAGTTTGATGTAACAAATTTTCCTTTCTGAAAAAAAAAACACTAATCTGGTTACAGCTTTCAGGTCAGCAATACGAATTTACACATCAAGTCTGACTCCATGATGCATTCCAAGAGGTATTTTGCCTCAAGGACATTAAGTAATTTTGGCCCTTACACCTGTCTGAAAAATGGTCAACTTTAACTCTACATCCATGGAAATCCCAATTGCTACCAAAATCAACAGCCAACAACAGTTAATTCCTATTTTCCTGGCAACCCACTGCTCAAAAGAAAAAAAAACAATTAACAGCGATGCCTTTCAAATTCTCCTGGAATGACCAAAGCCTTCCTTTCAGCCAGTGTGAGCCACTCTGTGCAAAGACAGCACTGTTAAAATGAATGCTATCTTATCCAGTATCTTATCCAGCAGTGATCCCAGCGTTAACTTTTCTTCACCAGTGTAATTCCAAGGCTCGTAATTGCTACCAATCTCTGTGGTACCAGGTGACTTTCCAGAAAAGTGGATTTTATCCAGAACTACTGGTAGATTACATAATGTTGTTGTAATATAGGGAAGGTGGCAGCGTGTGACAACATCACGGACAGTAAATCAGATGCCCAGGTGAATGATATGGGTTCAATACCATTAAAGTGGCTAGTTAAATTTGAATTTAGTTAATAAATCTGGAACATAAAGCTAAATTGTGATGATGACCATGTCAACTATCATTGATTATTGTAAAACCCATCTTTTTCATTAATGTTCTTCAACAAAGCAAATCTCCCCTCCTTACTCAATTTTTGTCCACTGACGGTTCCAGACCCACGATAATATGGTTGATTCTTTACTGCCCTCTCTCAAAAGGCCCAGCAACCCACTCAGTTCAAGGTCAATTAGGGATGGTCAGCAAATCCTTGCCAGAGATGCTCAAATCCCATGATGGAATAAATTAACTAATCCACTCTCCAGAGGTTGTCACAAATTTAAGAAACACACATGGGTCCCTGAAGTCACAGGTCTTTTGGATGGTTGCTGTTTGTTTCTCCATTCAGAATCCAGATCCCGATTTCTCAGTATCATGGGAATATAAATCAGAGCTAGCAAATCCATCCGAAAGCCAAATGTAAAGCCAGCTTTTCTCTGAGGTGGTTAACTTTAAAAAGTGCTGGGGAGAAATTATTCGAAGTTTCATTTACTTGCTCCAATGGACTCCTGCAGTATCAGGAATCTTGGTCATCTTTGCCTTTTGATAACTCAAATTTTCCCAGAGTATGAGCAATACACACAAGATCATGGTCTTATTTCTCAAATGCTGTTGACCAACTGGATGTCTTTACTGAAAAAAACAAAGACATTCTACAACAGATGGCATCTAGAAATAACCATCAGGTAAACTTATTCAAACACTGGCACTAACTGTTGAGTTTCTTACAGCCGGATTCAAGATGGAAGAAAGAAATACTGGAAACTACTCAGTCAAGCAGCTATTAGTGACAAACATCCTTGAATGTAGAGCTTAACCCCGAGAACTTGAGATACTGTACTTATAAATGGATTGGAGTCCGACAGCAGGGAAGACAAACAACAACCGTACAAGGTATGGGTGAGGCCACAACTGGAGCACTGAGAGCAGTTTTGGTCCCCTTATTGAAGGAAAGATATAATCTTTGAAGACAATTCAGAGAAGGCTCAGTAGGATGATTGCTGTTCTGGAAAGATTGTCTTATGAGCAAAAGTCAAATAGGTTGGATCTCTATTCATTGGACTTCAGAAGAATGAGAGGTGAACTTATTGAAACATATAGGACTCTTAAGGGTCTTGAAAGGGAAAATGCTGAGATGTTCCCCCTCATGGGAGAGCCTAGGACTAGTGGCCACAGTCTCAGAATAAAGGGATGCCAATCTCAGACTGAGATGAAGAGGAACTTCTTCTCAGTGTCTTTGGAACTCCTTGCCACAGAGAGCTGTGGGGCAGAGATCATTAGGAGAAATCAAGGGAAAGGGCAGGAAAATGGGCACAAGGAATGTCGGATCAGCCAGATCCCATTGAATGGCAGAATACGTTTAGGCAAACTGCCTACTCCTGCTCCTATTTCTTATGATTATGACTTCCACAAATACACAAGTTGAAAGATACATATATTCCTGTAGATCTCCAATAGCATCTTCAACTCACTACTTCATGGCACAGTTCCCTGACTGGTTATATCAAGCTACACAAAAGTGTCATTCTAAAAAAGATTCTCAAGAGCACAACAAATCAGGCACAGTAATGGAACAGGGATGACTGGATAGGCTAAAAATGACAGATGACAGAAGGGTTCACATAAGGAACTGATTATTTGGGTAGACTGTCAAAAAAAAAAAAAGACTTCCTAATAGTAACCAACATACTAGACACCTTCAGCAAATGGGATTATGTCAAACACATCGGCAAAATGTAAGGGTCACATATCTACGTTTTTCAGGGTCAACTTAAAATTCAGAAAGCATTTCCAAAGAAAGCTTCAACCTCTGTCTACTTATGGGATTTCCAAGAAAGGCTTAGTGTCCATAACCAGTGAGGAGAAAGCTCCTCTAGAGATTTTTTTTAAAAAATCAGACATTATATGAAAATCTAGGAAGATATTACATTGACACAAAACTCCAAAAGATTCCATTTTCATAAAAAAGCAAATACAGTACTAAATTGACCAAGAAAAGCTGTCAAACTGATTGCAGTAGGCAAACCAAAAAAAATCATTTAGACTATTCAACGCCTTGTAGGTGCCCCATTCCATTTCGTCTCCTCTCAAAAGTTTAAGACCACCTTTCACAATAAGTAATTTGATTACTAACCTGACCTGCATTCAATTTAAGGAAAGTGAAGTATGCCTTGCAAGAGAGTTTATAAAGGTTGAATATCCTATCTACAACTTTTCTCCACACTTCAATTAGTCCTTCTATGACACTCTCATCCTGGTCACCAAGCCATGGGCAGTTAGTCATCAACTGCCGCCAAATAACCTCCACCATGTCATCTTCTTCATCATCATTTATTTGCAAGGCCAAGTCTTCATCCTGAAAACAAGTTTTACAAAAGGTAAAGATAAATTTAAATTTAAGCTATGATTCAATTCAAATTAAGTAACAGGAAAATAGAGTTAAATGTCTTGTAAAGTAATAGAAAATACAAATTCAATGGAATTACTTTTTCCTTGCAACAGTTCATGTCTAGTTGTTAGATATACAACTTAGATAGTTATCCTTCAGCATAAAAAAAATTGAAGCAATCGAACTACAAATGATGAACACAAAAGCAGATTCTTTTTAACCGTTTACCTGAATTCCTGTTGGTCGACACATAGCTTGCCCCAAAATTCCATAAATAACTTCTGTGTCTTCTTCAGATGTGTTTTCTGGCAGTAGATTTTGAACATCAATCTTCTCTCTGGCGAGAAGTGGAACTCCTTCACCCTGACTGTAACAAAGTAGACCCAAAAATAAATCCTGATGCTTTACAAAAGCCACTTACATTTTTCTTTTGTGCAAATAGGCCAGAAGATTGGATATTTTATTGATTTGGAGATTGTCAAAATAAGCCATGTGCATGAGCACCTATCAAGCACAAAACTGACTTAGTGTTCCTCTTCCTGTCTCAGTACATCAGCTTTCTCATTTCATAAATTTATATGTACACAACATAGAATCATTATAGACTGATATATACAAAGGGAAGTAGGCAGCCATTTGGCCAATCATCCCTTAGGTGGTTTAGATTCTTGCCTTTCCCAGTTCCTTCCCTCTAAAACCTGCAAATCTTTCCTCTTTTGAAGTGCTTATCCAATACCCTTTCAAAAAAGTTCTTACTGCATCTAGTCCCACCACCAGCATTTTTGAGCGTTAAAAAAAACTGTCATCTTGCCTGAGATTTTAAAACAATTCACTCAAGACTGTTTTCTCATTACTGATTCAGTCACCACTGAAACAATTTCTCCATTTACTCTATAAACTCATGATTTTGTCTCAGTTGTAGTTCAGCTGGTAGCACAGTCGCATGAATCTCAAGGTTCCAGGTTCAAGTCCCAATCCAAGGCTTGGGTACAAAAACCCGAGATGCTAAAATGAGGCCATCTGCCCGTTCGGATGGACGTAAAAAACCCACAAAATAAGCCATTACTTATCCCTCAATCGATACGACAAACAGATTATCTTGTCATCGTTTTGCTGTTTGCGGGACCTTCCTGTGTGCAGAGTGCCTGCTCCTTTTCACAGATTACAACAATGAATGCACTTTAAAAATTACGTCATCAGTTGCAGAGACATCCAATGTCCTGAAAAATGCTATACAAGTGCAAGTTTTCTATGAAATTTTCCCCTTTATGTTCCCTATGCTTAAAGATAACAATCTTAGCTTCTCTAGCTTAAGTCCCACATTCTCGGTATATAATTTTACTAAATCTCCTCCGATCGGTGTCAATTTTTGACATCCTTGCTAAAACCAAGACAACTGATTTGCAATCAAGAATTTTTTTTTTTTTTAAAATATATACATAACATGTCGTAATTACATCAATCCGCCAACTTTGAATCTGGAAGCTCCTTGACCTATATTGCACAGAAACTCCCACATTCCAACTGACTCTGCCTCTCTGCAAAGAGCCATATAACGATTATCACAAATATATGGATTAAAATATAATGAATAAAATAGGGACAGAATTACATCTCTCTGCTTTGGTAAATTATCCCTGCCCTTTCACCAGCTTGTTAAAGGTGTACAAAGCTATAGGAGACTGAATAATTTAAAAACCAAAATTATCCACAAACTTACCTCGCATTATCAACCACCTTCCTGCCCCATCTGTAAGCCCAACTGGCCAACGCTGCCCAGGACTTGGCTATTTCAGGTGCTTGAACTGCTGATAGATGATACAGCTGCCCTAAAACAAAGTCAGGTTCTCCAACCCCAATATTCACTGAAAATAAAACAATTTGAATTCAATCTTAATAGCATGCTAAAAAGCATTCAAAGCTTTTGCGTATTGCTATGAAACAGTCGAGACACTTACCTGTTGATTCAACCACCATTTTGGGGCAAGCTGCTTCTTCCATTAAGTTAGGAGGGGTCAGTTCAGCCAAAGTATGGATGCTTTTCGCCAAAGTAGGCAGACCAGTAATAGATTTCTGCTGTTGAGCTCTGAAAACTTGCTTTAGCTGGACAGACATTTCCTTCCATTCTGCTTGAATCCACTTAGTCAAGGTGAGTATCGACTTGGCTACTGCCGATTCTGCTTTAGAGGATTTGCAATATGCTATGGCACAAGAACTCAGCATTTCCATTGCATGGGTAGAATGACCTATTGACATTGATCAAATATTTCAGATACTTGTAACAATTTCTCTGCTAAGTTCTATTAGATTGATCAATATATACTGCATTCAGTCAAAACGTTTTACAAGATTAAAATTTTAAAAACGGAAATATTGAAACACATCATATACAAGTAAGGAAGCACATAAAAACATCTGAACAAAGAGTAAGCTATTCAGCCATTCAACTCTGCTCTATCATTCAACAGATCATAACTGATCTGATTGCAAGCTCAAATTTGCATTTCCACCTTACCCTGATAACTTTTAAACTTCTTACTTATCAAAAATCCATACACCTCTGCCTTAAAAAAATTCGAGGACTATTGCTTCCACCACCTTTGCAGGAAGACAGTTCCAAAGACACTCAACCCTCCGAGTAAAAAATACACCCTCATCTGCTTAAGACGGGAGTAACCCACTAATGACACTTAGTCACTTCCATCACAGGAGGCATTCTCTCCACGTTCGCTGTCAAGACCCCTTAGGATTTTGTACATTTCAATCAAGTCACCTTTGACTCTAGCAGATACAAGCCAAGCCTGCCAAAATGTATAATGGCTTCGGCTCCTGCCCATGATCATTTGTGTCATCTTTCCACTGAGCCCCATAATCAGATACAGAACAGCAAGTACCTCTCCATAGCAAGTCCTAATGCATGTGGCAGTCACTGCACTGAGTAGGGTGGCAGCAGCTGGTACAAATAAAAAGAGAAAACTTATTCCCACAACTCCTGTTAAACAGTTCAACATCCTGTTTAAAGCAGCCCTTCCCAAGGCCAAGACTAGCATATCTCAATGTCTGAGATTCAGTAAGAAAAATACAAGTGTATTTCAAGGGAAAGAAAGAAAACAAATTCTCTTGGGCTGTTGCACAACAGAATGGTGAAGTTCAAAAAGCAGATTACTTCCTCACTTCTTTACTTAAAGGGAGACAGAAAATATTAAGATTTAATACAAATATGAAATACAAAAGTCTCGTTTTAGTTACCTGCAGTGTACAACAGCTTTGATTTCTCAATATCAAGCTCTGGCCCCCACTTTTCATGAACAGTGCCATGCAGTGACATTTGTTTGAACAAATGGACTAAATCTTGAGTGGTGTTAGCATCACTCAATGAAGTTTTACTACACTGCTCAAGGAGCTTGGTGGCCAAAAGGACATTCCCCTGTTTCCGAGCAAATTTAACAGCTGTGAGTCCAAGTTCCATAAGATGTCCATTAATTGAAGTACTGGATCCTGGACACAAAAAAAAAATCAATGTCAATTGAGTATAATTTTGAATACCCATACTACATATTCCTTCAGATGAATGAATTGAATCTTTCGGATAGCCAGTGCATTACATCCTAAGGAATGAATCGTGTAGAATTTGAAACTTGACAGGCAGAACCTTCTTGGACAGTATCTTGTCCAATTATCCAACAGAATGGCTCAAAAAACACCTTGAGACTTCAGCTCCTTTCAATTACTTGTATTGTTCTTGGCTTTAACTAGTATAAGCAAATTGTAGGAACTCACCTGTCTGATAATTATATAGTGCTTGGGGCGGGGGGAGGTGAAGCAGGGAAGAGGATTTCCAGGGGGTGGGGGGTGGAGGGGAGAAACAGCAGAAGAAAGCACAACATAGAACTGTACAGTACAGGAACAGGCCCTTCGGCCCACGATGTTGTGCCAAACATGACGCTAAGTGAAACTAATCCCTTCTGCCTGCCCTTAGTCCATAACCCCTCTATTCTGTACATATTCATGTCCTTATCTGAAAGCCCCTTAAACGCCCCATCGTATCTGCCTCCACCACCATCCTTAGCAGTGCGTTCCACACTCGTACCGCTCCATGTAAAAACTTGTCCCTCGTGTCGCCTTTGAACATTCCCCCTCTAACCTTAAATGTATACCCCCTCGTATTAGACATTTTGGCTCTGGGTAAAAGATTCTGACCATCAACCCTATCTATGCATTTCAATTTAATAGACTTCTATCAACTCTCCCCTCAGCCTGTACCACTCAAGAGAAAACAACCCAAGTTTTTCTAGCCTCTCCTTGTTACTCATACCATGTAATCTAGGCAGCATCCTGGTAAACATCTTCTGCACCCTCTCCAAAGCCTCCACATCCTTCCTGTAATGTGGTGAACAGAAATGAACGCAATACTCTAACAGTGGCCTAACAAAAGTCTTATAAATCTGCAACATGACATCCTGACTCTTGTACTCAATACCCCGACCAATAAAGGCAAGCATGCCATATGCCTTCTTTACCACCCTATCAGGGACCTATGGACTTGAACCCCAAGATCCCTCTGAACATCAATGTTGTTCAGGGTCCTGCCATTAACTGTATACTTTTCCTTAACATTTGATCTCCCAAAGTGCAGCACCTCACACTTACCCGGGTTAAACTCCATCTGCCATTTCTCTGCCCATATCTGCAACTGATCTATATCCCACTGTATCCTTGACAACCTTCCACACTATTCACAACTCCATCGATCTTTGTATCATCTGCAAACTTACTAACCCAAGCAAGGAAGGAATAAGGTCAATGGAATTTGGAGGCAGTGAAGAAAGTTACCAATCAATGCTTTTATAATGCTATTATTCTTCCATTCATATTAAATATTTCTCTTACCTTTCAGTTTTTCCGCTACACGGGCTTGGAATACTGTGTATCTTAAAGCCTGAAGCCAGGGGCGGACATCATGCTGTCTACAGGACTGCAAAGCTTCACTGTACAGTGGCAGAAGACAATCCTAGACCAAAAACAGTTGGTTTCCATAATTCATAGTTCCATAAATCTTTACAAACTGCATTGCCATTTCCAATTACGGGTTAATTCACATTTTGAAACAATTCAATTATCATGAGGGAAGTCTGAACAGAGTTAGAAGTCAACTCGACACCACAGCATAGTGGAGGGACACTCCTGGAAGTAGCGACCAAACAAGATGTGATCCGTTTTCTCCATGCTAAACAATGAACCCTCACATCCTTGCATTATACAATATGAAGGATTATGGATAAGAACTGAAACATGAAATTCAATCGAGTTGGTGAGTGACAGATAAATTGACAGCAACATGCTTGGGAGGTATGAATGAAATATCTGACAGTCGACATCACTACACTGCTGTGTGCAATAAGTCATGTAATCACAATAGACTAAATAAGTCCTATCTAGAAACTTATTTTTACCTCTGTGGATAACTTGTTTGTCACGGTGTTCTCAAGTGCAGTTGAACAATACAGCTGTAGAGTGCTCAGCATTGGCAGAGATCCCGCCATCGATAATGTGGATAGTCTCAATGGTCCGACAGCAACCCGCGCCATCTGCTTCAGATACCTGACTGTATTTCTAAATCATAAAAACTTGAATCAACATCAATTCAGTTAATTTTGAAAAGTACGATTTCTAATAGTTGTTATTTTTAGAGAAATCCTTATTTTGTACTAGCTATCAGCTTTTAATTCATCCTGTTTGGAAAAAGCTCCCTGCGCCGCTCCCAATATTGGGAGGTGGTGCAGAAAGCAGCATTAATACTGACCAGAGAATGGTGGGAGAGTAGAACACATGATTTTTTTTTCTATATAAAGCACTTACAGTAGCTACACAAAGTTAATTTCCCATAAGCAAAGTTAAGGCACGCAATTAGATTTCAATGATGGTAACTTTTTTTGGTAAATGACACAGACAGTATGATTTGTCCTCGCTTCAGAATTCCTAAGGTGAAACAAAAGTCTCATTCAGTAACTAACAGCTGCCCGATTAATCAGGCAGATCACCAAAGTATTCTTAGACTGAAATTACATGCGATGGTGTAATATAAGTTTCAGTTATATACAGCCAAGTAATCGAGATGGAGCTCTCCGGAAATAAACATGCTGTGTGATGGTTGCAATTGCTCAAGTTATTTGTTCAAGTACAGATTTAGAAAAGAAAACAAAAAATTGGGAGCAGTTAATTTTAACACTGAACAGCCAAAAGTAATGAACGTTGGATCAAGAATCAAGCACTACCATTTGGCAGCCATCTTTGAAGGATCCTTCCTGACAGTAGCCACTGGGGTTTTCTCTCCAGGCAGGATAATCTACAACAGGGTAAGGGGAACGATCATTCAGAACCAAATAGAAGAAGGGACCTCCTCACACTCTCTTTCCCTGGTCTCTCAGGGAATCGAGGGATTCAGGAAGCAAGCAGACAAGTGGAGTTCAAGATCAGCCATATTACCACCTTACAGTGCATTAAGGTGGATAAATCCCCTGGGATTGATCAAGTCCATCCTCAGACATTGTGGGAGGCTAGGGGAGAAAATGCAGAGGACCTTGCAGAGATTTTTGCTTCACCTCTAGCCACTGGTGAAGTTCTGGAAGACTGGAGGGTGGCTAATGTTGTTCCACTGTTAAGAAAGGTAGCAAAGACAAGGCAGGGAACTACAGGCCAGTGAGCCTGACATCAGTGGTAGGCAAGTTACTGGAGAGGATACTGTGGGACAGGATCAACCAACATTTGGATAGTCAAAGTCTAATTAGAGATAGTCAGCATGGATTTGTGCACGGGAATTCATGTCTGACACATCTTTGAGTTTTTCGAAGAGGTAATCAAGAGGATAGACAGTGGTAAGGCAGTGGATGTTATCTATACAGACTTTAGTAAGGCCTTTGACAAGGTCCCATATGGCAGGCTAGTCATGATTGTGATGTTGCATGGAATCCAGTGACAGCTAGATAATTGGATTTAAAATTGGCTCAATGATAGAAAGCAGAGGGTGATGGTTGAAGGTTGTTTCTCAGGCTGGAGGCCTGGTGTGCCACAAGGGTCAGAGCTGGGACCTTGGTTATTTGTTATTTACATAAATCATTGAGATGTGAATGTACAAGGCATGATTAGCAAGTCTGTGGATAATACAAAATTAGGAGGTATCATTGACAGCAAAGGAGGTTATCAAAAATTACAGAGGGATCCTGATCAGATGGGGAAGTGGGCTGAGGATTGGCAAATGCAATTCAATACAGTTAAGTGGGAGGTGTTGCATTTTGAAAAGTCAAACCAAGGTAGGACTTATACAGTAAATGGTAAGGTCCTGAGGAGTGTTGTGGAACAGAGGGACCTAAGAGTATAAGTACGTAGTTCATTGAAAGCATCGTCACACGTGGACAGGGTGGTGAAGAAATCATTTAGCATGTTGGCCTTCAATCAATGCTTTGAGTGTAGGAGTTAGGGTGTTACGTTACAGTTGTACCAGTCATTGGTGACAAGTCATTGGCTGCACATGGGAGTATTGTGTACAGTTTTGGTCACCCTGTTACAGGAAAAGCACAGTTAACCTGGAAAGTGTGCGAAGAAGATTTTTGAGGATCTTGCCAGTATTAGCAGTCCTGAGTTATAGGGAGAGGCTGGCCAAGGTAGGATTTTATTCCTTGGAATGTAGAAGAATGAGGGGTGATCTTATTGAGGTGAATAAAATCATGAGGGGCATAGATAGGATGAATGCATATAGTCTTTTTGCCAGGGATGAGGAATTGAAAACAAGACAGCATAGGCTTAAAGGTGAGAGGGGCAAGATTTAAGAAGGTCCTGAGGGGCAACTTCTTTACACAGAGAGTGGTGCGTGGAATGGGCTGCCAGGGAAAGGTGGTTGAGGCAGGTACAATAGCAACATTTAAATAGGTATATGGATGAGAAGAATTTAGAGGGATATAGACCAAATGCAGGCAATCGGAACTAGCTGAGTGGGCACCATAGTCAGCATGGACCAGTTTGAGCCGAAGGCGCTGTTTCTACACTATTACTCTATGACCCTACTCTGATTTGTTTGATTGGCAGAGCATGCTCAATTATGCTCTTCAAATATGCCATGAAACTTTTTCACTGATTCGCAGTACAATGCAACAGAAAGAAAGTATAAACCAAAAGAATTGCGGATGCTGTAAATCAGAAACAAAATCAGAAGCTGTTGGAAAAGCTCAGCAGGTTCGGCAGTATCTGTGAAGAGAAGTCTGTTAATGCTGTGAGTCAAGTGACCCTTCAAATAAAATATATATAACCATCAAACACAATTGGATGCACTCACTCTGTGCTGTTCTGGAGTTTCTTTTCTTGTTCTGTTTGTTCAATAGTTGAAGAAAAACAAACTGCACTCCTCATTAGTTGAACCTCAATGGCTTTCTGAAGTTCCCTTGGGTCAGGACTCATCACATTTGGAAGTAGCTTTTTCATGTCTGCAAACACACATTTTCAATATTTATTAAATATTTAACCAATAAACATCCTCATTCCCAAGTCCAAATAATTCAAACACATCGAAGAACCAGCTACTAATTTGGTAATTATGGAAGTGAAGATTTTCTGGAAATAACTTTAGAAGTTGTGTGTTAATACATTTATCTTAAAGAATATCCAGTTCAGTCTATGTGCTGCAGAGACAGGTGAGGGAGAGGTGTGTTTGTTGAACAGTCTTGCCAGGCCTGCTCTACGGCATAGTATCCAGTTTTGGTCAGTGGATCTCCGGAACAAATTGCCTGTGGAAGGGTACAGCACTGATTGTCCAGAGGCTAAAAGAGACGAATTATGAGGCTATCATAAACTTGATTTGCATTCCCGTGTAGCTTGCAGTTCAAAAGTCTGGAGTGGGGAATCTACTCAAGGTGTTTAAAATCAACGAGAACTAATAGACTTTGAATGGTGAGCATTTAGAATTTTCAAAACTGAAAGATAATGCGTGTTAGGTAAAGACAAGAATGGATAAGGAGGGTTGAGGCACATGTCAACCACGATTTTAACTGAATGGTAAGAGAGGCTAAAGGAGCTGAACAACACATTCTGTGTCTATACTGTTATGGACCAGACCAAACCCCCTCAAAATATATTAAGAAGATAGTGTAGACCCTAACCTTTTATTATTTTAAAGCTAAGTGTAAGGCATTGCTTTCCAAATACCTTTCGATTGGTCAAACCACTCGACATTAAGCAAAACATACTTCGTTTTTACACCAGAGTTAAAATACAAACAAAAAATGATAAGAATTGGCTTAACTGTAACTATTGAAATGTTTAAGAAAATAGCAGCTATATTAAGCACTACTAATTAATTGTTACAATGTAGTAACATGCTATAAACATACCCTTGGCAATTATAACATGTCAAAGACATTTGGATAAGTACATGTATAGGAAAGATTTGGAGAGATATGGGCCAAACCCAAGCAAGTGGGACTAGTTTAGTTTGGGAACATGTTTGGCATGGACTAGGTGGACCAATGGGTCTGCTTCCATGCTGTATGACTCTATGAAAAGAAAATTTAGAAAAACAGATTGTCTCACATGCAATTCTAGCAGCAGGAAGAGAACCCCAGCTTTTAGCTGTAACAGAAGAAAAATAGCTTCCACATTGAGCTTCAATATCCCAGCAGCAATGGCTACTGAAAACAAACTAAAAATCCTGTTTCTGTAGGAGCTTGACCCCCACCCAGTCAGGTTGCTTCTATTGTTCCAATTAAAAAAAAAACCAAGGCCTCACAAGCCTTTTATTTTATCAGCTTTGAGTAGATTGCTCTACACATCTGTCCCAACCTTTCTTCATAATAAAGTACAAAATACATCTCTTAAAGCCATAGTATCATCACAATACAAATAAGTTGCCAGTACTCCTGCTATTTAATCAGTAAATATTCTATAGGGAAAAAGACAGCTGAATTGGGGCACAGATGGGATTGTGTGCTTTCATACCTAATTTTTCTTTAGCAGCTCCATTGATGAAGTTAATGTCCTCCCCAGGTAACAGTTCCAACTGTTCCTGACATGCAGGGAAATCTCCACACTCAAAACTTCCAAGGGCTCTGAAACAAAATAACAAGGCTTCAATATACTCACATCTTACAGGACTTTTAGATCAATCCTCAAACAAATTCTTGAGCACTTGACAGGGTAAATGTGGAAAGATCGTTGATCCCAGACCCTGCTACGGGAAAACAGGGTATAGACTCAGAATAAGCGGTCACACATTTAAGACAAAAGAGGAGGAAGAATTTCTTTTCTCAAAGGCTAGGGAATCTGTGGATTTCTTTACCACAAAACTGCTGAGGCTGTGTCTATAAGCATATGGAAGGCAGGCACAGATTTTTAAACAGTAAGAAAATCATGGGGTAACAGGGAAAAGGTAGGAAATTGGAGTTGAGGATTTTTGGATCAGCCATGATTTCATTGAGTGGCAGAGCAGACACAATGTGCTGAATCATCTACTTTTGCTTTGATGTCTTATGGCCTTAAGACTAATACCTATTTGCCATCTGAAACAAAAACAGAAATTGTAGAGAAATTCTACAAGCCTGTCAGCATCTACGGAGAGAGAAAGCAGAGTTAATGCTTCGGGTCCAGTGGCCCTTATTAGCCATCTGTTAAACAGAAAAATCCTAAACCATGCTAAAAGCTTCCAAAAGCCCAGTCCATCACGCAAACCAGCCTTCCATCCAGTGACTCAGGAAAGCAGCCAACATAATCAAAGACCCCTTCCCCCGCCCGGTTATACTCTCTTACACCCTCTTCCACTGGACAGAAGATACAAAAGTTTGAAAACACAAGCCAACAGATTTAAGAACAGCTTCTTTCCTGCTGTTATCAGATTTATGAATGGACCTCACATTAGAGTTGATCTTTCTCTGTACCTTCTCTATAGCTGTAACACTATATTCTGCATTCTATTCCAATACCCTGATGTACTTATGATTTGTCTGGTTAGCACAATACTTTTCACAGTATATCCATACATGTGACAAAAATAAATCAAATCACAAACCACTAAATCAGAATTATACAAGAGCAAATTTTGGTGAATGGAGGATGAATTTGAGAAGTTAAAAAAAAGAGAAAAACCAGGAAATGAAAGCATCTAACCTGGACATCTTAACAGGAAATTATTAGTCTATAACCAAGGAACTTTTGTCACCTTGAATGCTTTCATCCAAAGAGAGCCAGCATACATTGTGGGAAGGTTATTCTGAATAAACCAGATTGAATTTTTTGTGGTAGTGGCAAAACTAGTGGATATTATTACTTATATTCAATTCCAGAAAGCATCTAGAAATGTCTCAACAGAACATGAACCAATTTAATGGAATCAAAGACAATTTATTGAAGTGGTTCTTGAGACAGCAGGGCTGACACATATGGAGAACTTCAGTCAGTTAGGATTATATTTACTGAATTCAGATGAATGATGGGGATATCAGAAACATAAAATTAAAAGGAATAATCATGGTAAACACAAGGAGGACATCCCCAATGACAGGAGTGTCCAGAAGGAAGGTCACAGACTAAAAATGCAGGGTAAACCATTTACAACCAAGATGAAGAGACTTTTTTTTTAAAACCCAGAGAGTGGCCAGACTGTGGAATTTACTCGCACAGAAAACAGTCAAGGCCAAAACGTTGTACAATTTCAAAGAAGTTGGATATGGCACTTAGGGATAAAGGGATCAAAGCATCTGAGGGGAAAGCAGGAACAAGCTATTGTAGTTGATTGTCCAACTCAATCAAAATAAATGACGAAGCAGGATCAAGGAGTTGAATGGCCTACTCCTGCTCCTATTTTCTATTTCTACAAGCTTATTGGAGAGTTGAACTGGTGGTAGGAGATGTGATGTGGAGGGGCCAGTGTTGGACTGGGCTGGACAAACACAGAAGTCACATGACACCTGGCAAAGGAGCTGTGCTCCGAAAGTTTGAGAGATTCCAAATAAACCTGTTGGGCTATAACCTGGTGTTGTGAGACGTCTGATGTTGGCAGTAAGAGACAGGTGGTCAGGGGTAACAGGCAGTTACTCTAATTGACAGGTTGCTACTGGTGGTATTCAACAAGCATCTTTGTCTGGGCCTCAACTGCTCACAGCATTTATTAATATTTTCAGATTTTCAGCATCTGGGCTACTTTGCATTCATGTTACAATACAAGTTATTGTACACTTATGCAAAGAACGGGCGTGACCACAATTGCAAATACTGAGGGTAGTTCTGGGCATCATAACTTTATGGATGAAGTATTGACTTTGGAGAGAGTGCAGCATAAATATACCAGAACAATACCAAGACTCCATAAGATTAAATAAAGAGGAAAGGTTTCACACAGCACTGTTTTTTGATTCGTTTTCAAGAAATTAAGGGAAAAAGATAACGGTAGATTAGAAGAAATGATTTCCATTAGTCCAGGAATGTGCACGGGCCTTAATCACAAAGTTAGGGCCAGATCCTTCAGAAGTAAGATTAGAAAACACTTCTACACACATAATGGTAATGTTTGGTACAAATTTAGAGTACTCCTGAAAGCAGCAACTTATTTTAAATTTTAAAACTTACATTGTTAAGATTTTGTTCTTGAAGGTATAAAGGTTTGGGACAAAGGCAGGTCATATGGTCAAGAGATCAATCATCATCTCAGCAAGCTCGGGGCAGGGGGGTGTCAATGGTCTATTCCTAATTATTCTCTTTCCTTTATACATCGGCCTGGTCAGCTGCTCTCAAAGGCAGCATGTTTGTGGGGTATGGGTCAACAGGTACCAGCTGAGCTTCTGCTATCTGACCCAGCCAGCTCACTTTTCTCAATGCCCATTTCCCAGATCTCATTTTACATTTCAACATCGCAGTGCTTGCCCTCCAGGTACTATATGCACACTTTAATTGCCACAGCATGCTTATCAGCAAATTTTTTCACAGCAAGAAAAATAACTAGCTATTAAAAAGGAAGTGTAAAGGGAAATATTTCCTGTTCCTTCAATGTTTATGTTTTTTAAAAATTTGCAATTTAAAAAACGTCAGCCAATTTGAAAGCAGTCACTATTCTCATGCCCAGATCTGCTCTAATGCAGTCACCAACAGGGAGAAGTTAGCTCTGCATGCTGCACAGTTATTTATTTATTTAGATGAAATCTAGAACTGTAATGGTGTCTGGAAGCTAATCCAAGCCATTCACCAACACCCGAACAGGCAGCAGTACTCAGCATTTGGTACTTTTTTTTTTTAAAATTGAGGCTACGTCAGCTTCAATTCTGGCTCCAGGCTTCTTGGAGGCTCCCACCATCAGTTACACCAGTCTGCTGCCAACTCAATTCACTCAACATAACATTATGAAACAGCTGCATATAGAACACAGCAAGGGGTATGGGCTCTGATAACGTCCCAGTTCAAAGTTTGAGAAGATTTGTAGCTCGGGTTGTGGATGAGGCTGTAGACTTGTTCACTGAGCCGGTGTGTTTGATTACAGACGTTTCGTTACCCTGCCTCCGTCAGCGCGCCTCCGGTGAAGCGTTGGTATTCTGTCCCGCTTGTTATTTATATGTCTTAGTTTGCTGGGCTGGTTGGCATCACTTCCGGTTGTTTTTCAGTGGTTTGTATATTGGGTCCAGTTCAACGTGTTTGTTGTGAAGTTCTGGTTGGATAGGTAACCCTCAGACCTACTGCCTCACTACCAGGTATGCCAATAAAACAGACTTGCCAAAGAACTACAACGGAAACTGAAATAATTAGTAAACAACACTACCCACTCCATCCACTCCTCCCAAGAATTCCTCAACATCAAGGACACCAGAATAGAAGGGGAAGAGATAATGATATCCTTCAAAGTAACAGCACTATTTACATCCATAAACATCGACCTGGCTAAAGGGACAATTGCCACACTGCTGGATGAATCAGGAAGGCAGGCACCCAATGACACCAACAGTATTAAGGACAGCACCCTGAAACTGCTGGATCGGTGCCTCACAACCCACTTCACCTTCAACGGCCGTATATTCAAACAAATCAATGGAACACCACTGGGATCCCCAATATCAGGGCTGATAGCAGAAGCCATAATGCAAAGGTTAGAATGGATAGCGCTCCCCACTATCCAACCCAAACTCTGGGTCCACTATGTAGATGACACCGTGATTATCAAAAGCACGAAACTAGAAGAAACCCACCAATGCAATCATCCTCCTCACCAGAATAAAATTCACAAAAGAAGGAGAAAACAATAACCAAATACATTTCACCATTATGTCTAGGAAGGGTAAGAACAACAGGGAACTCCAGACTAGCATATACAGAAAGACCACCCATACGGGCCAGATACTTAATGCAGCAACCATCCCAACACCCATAAACGGAGCTGCATCAGGACATTAGTCAAACGAGCCACAACACACTGCAGCAACCTGGAATTGCACAGAGCAGAACAGGAACACTTGTACGGAGTTTTTAGAAGGAATGGATATCCAAAAAAATCTGCTGTTACGTCCATGACAGACACAACAGGACAACACAACACAGCTAGACATACCAGTCACCCTACCATACAGAGACATATCAGAGATGACCACATGACTACTCAGACCCCTAGGTATCAGAGTAGCCCACAAACCAACAACCACTCTGTGACAGCTACTGATGAACATAAAGGATCTCATACCCACAACCAATAAAATTAACATAATATACAAAATACCATGCAAGGAATGTGGGAAACATTACATAAGCCAAACTGGAATAAAACTGACAATAGGGATACACAAACACCAACTAGCCACCAAGAAACACGACGAGTTCTGACTGGTCTCAATACACACAGAAAAAAGAGGACACAAATTCTACTGGGACGACACAAGCATAATAGCATGAGCCAAACAGACATGCCAGGGAATTTTTGGAAGCCTGGCATTCCAACCAGAACTCCAACAAACACATTAACCTGGACCCAATGTACAAACCAATGAAAAACAGAACCAGAAGTGAGGCCAACCACTCCAGCAAGCAGAGGTATATAAATAACAAGCAGGACAGAACAGCAACGCTTCACCAGAGGCGCACTGACAATGTTACCTAGCAGGGTGTCGAAATGTCTGCAACCAAACACACCAGCTCGGCGACTAAGTCTACAACCCCATTGCCTGTAGTCTGGAACTAACCAACTGCACACCCCTGACAATGCTAGTAAGTATCCAACAACGTGCACATTTGCTGAGTCCACAATAAGAACCAAATGCAATCTGGTCAAATATCTCTCTGCTGGATTACTCCTAATAATATGCACAGTGAGTGGAGGTGGTTCTGGACAGTATATTGTTCATCACTGCTCAGTTTGGGTTCTCTCAGGGCTACTCAGCTCCAAACCCCAGAGAGTCCTGGGACAAACATGGAGAGAAAATAAAGCTGAACTCCTGGGGAGAAGGGAGGGAGGCTGCCATCAGGACAGTACATGAACTATTACAGCACCAAGTAGACATTGAAAACTGAACTCAATTGGGATGGGGTGGAAATGATGTTTCCCAGTCGTTGAAATATACTTGCCCAAAAAAGATAACTGCAGTTGAGGACCATCATCTGACCACATCAGCATTGGTTGCAGGGGTTCCAGAATGTGCTACAGCAAAATCACACTGTCTCTTAGACGGTACCTCCCAAACTTCCAAGTCATCCATATCCTGTCTTGGAAGTACATCATTCCTTCACCGCCAATGGGTCAAATTCCCTGAACACATTTCATCACCTCCTCAGAGCAATGAGAGGAAGGCAATAAATGCTGGTTCTATCACCAATGCCCATATCTCATGGCTGAAAAATGGTCTAAGAATGGAGAATGGGATTAATCAGCTAGCTTTATTAAAGCCCAGATGACTGCAATGGGCCAAATAGCTCCATTTGTGCTGCAGTCATTCTTCGATACTATAATCCTTGGCTGTTCCATCAATAACCTTCCCTTTGTCATAAAGCAGAATATGGCTGCTTCATTGACAGCTGCAGTGTTCACCTCCATTTACAATTCCTCAGATAAAACTGACATTCAATTTATAAACAGTTTTCATCAGCACTTACAGCCAGCCAATGTGATATTTTTGAACACTGCCATCAATTACAATAGAGCAAGCACAACAGCCAGTTGTCAGACAGCAAAGCTTCCATAAGCAGCAACGTGAGAACAATAGGATATTCTGTTCTTTTGGAACAGTGACCGATGGTTCAATATGGTCCAGGAGACAAGGGATAACCACGACTCCCACCCTCCTCTTCAAAGCATTGCAAGATCTTTTCCATCCACTTGGAGGGCACACAAGACCTTAAATTAGTATCTCCTCCAAAGAGGAGGAGGAGAAGGCATCTCCCCAAGTACTGCACCAAATGCCAGCCTTCATCTTTATGTTCTGCTGACTGAGCCTTGGCTGTCCTCATCCATAGGACGTCAAACTAGACAATGTCTAATTTTGGCCAAGAAATGCCAAATAACATTCAGACCTCCCGTAATGGGTAAAAAACCAACATTCAACGTATTGTCAAAAGCAGACTTGGTGTGGCCGGGCGGGGGGAAACGACAGTGGAGAGGAGAGACGGGGGAAGATAGATATGGAGCATCACTGTTGGCTGGAGACCGAACTAGAACAGCCACATTCAGGAGGTCAAAGGGCTTGCTACAGTACTCCAGTGAAGCTCTGTGCAAGCTGGAAGAACACCACCTCATTTTCCATTTGAGAACCCTTCAACTTTCTGGACTCAATATTGAGTTCAATAGTATTAGGGCCCGAGCATCTTTCCCCATATTCTCAATCCAACCCTACACACCAGTCTTCCATGGCTACTTGGTGCTGTGATATTTCATGTGCTGTCCCAATAGCAGCCTCCCTTCCTTCTCTGGAGGAATTCAGCATTTTTCTCTTTATATGTTTGTCCCAAGACTGTGGCCAGGTGGGGAGCCAAGTAGACTTGACAGAACCCAAACTGAGCACTGTTGAACAAAATATCATCACATAAGCATGACCACTAACGGACCACATTAGCAGTTATTCATTCTCCCAGGCTAACCTTTATGTATTCCTTTATCTGAACTGCTTTCCTCTCTCTGGAACCCATCTTCACCTACCGCTTACTCCTTCCTCCTCCACCCACCCCTTCTCTAGCATATATATCAACCTCTTCTTAGCTACAATCAGTTCTGAAGGGTCACTGGACTAAAACCATTAACACCACTTTCTCTTCACAAATACTACTAGACCTGCTCACGTTCTTGAGCAATTTGGAATTTGTATCATATGCTGTACGACTCACCTACATACCACCTGTGTAGAAAGGCTACAGCTCTTCAGGAATTATACTTTCCAGGAAAACTGTTCACTTGGTTTACATTTCATTCAATAGTGCCTGCCTGGACAGTATACCATGGCTGTTGTTAGGTGGATTATATACATAATGCATTGTTTCTCAATAGCTTCTCAGTAGCAACCCAGGAAGATCTGGATTTACAACATCGAAAAAGACAGGCATATGGGAAGAAGTTCCTCTCCAAGGCATCAGCTAGACGTGCGAATACATCACAATTTCTTCAGACACTGTAATCCGGGAGGCTGCCAGTAACAGCACTGTGGAATGCCTTCAGTAATTAAAATTGCTGGCCCACCATCACCTCTCAACAGAAATGAAGAATGGTCAATAATTGCTTACCAGCAACACCCACATCCCTGGAATGAACACACATGAGAAAATTTCAACATGATCAATGCGCTTAGAATGGTTTTGGAATGCAGGCAGCATTTCCCATTAGTGAAGTTGGAGTAGTTGTTCTTGGGGTAGAGACAAGAAAGGTTGCTTAAAAATGCAAACATAAACAAAGTCACAAATTTTAAATAGATGCAGTTTGAGTGAACAAAAAAAGTGTCTTAAACAATACCAGTATTTTGCCAGAACACTACATGTTGCATTTTATAGAAAATGAAAATGAGTGCCTGAAGTTTCTGACCTGATGTAGTTAAAATCAGCCTTCAGGTGGATGGATGATCCATTTGTACTTTTCTTCAACGCTAGGATACCATTCTGCCATTCTTCCACAGCTGGCCAGTCAGATAATGAAATGTAGCATTCACAAGCTTTATTCGCCAAATAATTCACAATTTCAGGGGAAGTATCACTTTGTTTAGTAAGAACAGTTTTCTTGCTTTCAGCTGTACAAAACAAAGCTCTATCAATGATGATGCAATGTTGCAGCTTTTTTAAAAAAAAATGACAGCAAATTCAGATGATTTACCTTGTATGTATGTCCTGTCTTTATAAAATGATGCAGATGACAATATAGGAGCATTGTTAGTAAGTTTGCGGATTACACCAAAATTGGTGGTACATTGGACTGTGAAGAAGAGTATCTAAGAGCCCAACGGGATCTTGATCAGGTGAGCAAATTGGCCAAGGAACAGCAGATGGTGTTTAATGCAGATAAATGTGAGGTGTTGAATTCTGTTAAGACAAACTAGGGCATGACTTACAGTTAATGGTCAGGCCCTGGGGAGTGCTGACGAACGGAGACATCTAAGGGTGCAGGTACACAGTTTTTTTAAAGTGGCGTCACAGGTAGACAAGGTGGTGAAGGCAGCTTTTGGCATGCTTGCCTTCACCGGTTACAGCATGGAGTACAGGAATTGGGGTATCATGTTAATGCTGCACAAGACATGAGTAAGTCCACATTTGGAGTACAACTCTGGTTGCCCTGCTTATAGGGAGGACGTTATTAAACTAGAAAGGGTGCAAAAAAAGACTTGGAAGGATGTTACGAAACTGGAAGGTTTGAGTTGTAAGGAAAGGCTGGATAGTCTGGGACATTTTTCCCCCTTGTGTGTAGATAGCTGAGGGATGATCTTAGAGGTTTATAAAATCATGAAGGGCAGAGATAAGATGAATCGTAAAGCTTTTCAATCCCCCAGGTTAGGGGAGTCCAAAACTAGAGGGTATAGGTTTAAGGTGAAAAGGGGAAAGATTTAAAGGGACCTGAGGGGCAACTTTTCCCCATAGAGGGTGGCGCATATATGAAATGAACTGCCAGGGGAATTGGTACAGGTGGGTACAGTTACAACATTGAGACATTTGGACAGGTTCAAGCATGGGAAAGTTTTAGAGGAATAAGGGCCAAATGCATGCAAATGGGAGTTAGTTTGGTTTAAATTTAGTTTGGGAAACTTGGTCAGCCTAAGGGTCTGTTTCTGTGCTGCAAGACTATGTGCAGGTTAGGTGGATTGGCCGTGGTAAATTGCCCCGTAGTGTCCAGGTTAGATGCGTTAGCCATAGTAAGTGTGGGGTTACGGGGTTAGGGCGTGAAGGATGGGTCTGGGTGGGATGGTCTTTGGAGGGTTGGTGCAAACTCAATGTGCCAAATGGCCTTTCTGCAATGTCAGGTTTCTATGATTCCCTTAAATAACAGCCACATGAAGGTGCTGAAAGGGACAGAACTGGCAAAGAAATTTTCTCAGCTGTTCAATAAATATGATACAGCTTCCAACTGAATAATGCACTAAGTTGTAGGTGATCTAATGCTTTATGTTACAGTTTTCCACCAGCTCAGCACTAGCCAGAATGGCAGTGCACCTTTATCAATTTTTAAAAACTAACTTGTATAAGGCTGGCCCAAAATGCAGCTTGGAAACTCTAAGTCTCATTAAGAAAAGCTTCCTCCTGGCAAACTGGTATCATGGTAAAACGTATTGCGTTGATAGTTTAGTTAGACATGAGTGAATTATAAGTTTGAGTTTAAGGAGAGCCTGAATAGTCTGGGACATTTTTTCACTGGAGAGCAGGGGTTGAGAGGTGACCATTTAGAGGTTTATGAAATGATGAGGGGCATAAATAACGTAAATGACAGGTGTCTTTTCCCTAAGGTGGGGGACTTCAAGACTAGGGGGCATATTTTTAAGATGACAGGAGAAAGATTTAAAAAAGATACAGGGGGCAAACTTATTGCTCGTATCTAGACTGAACTTCCAGAGGAAGTGGTGGATGCAGCTACAGTTACAATGTTTAAAAGACATTTGGATAAGTACATGAATAAGGAATGCTTGGAGGGATATGGGCCAAGTGCAGGCAGGTGGGACTAGTCTACTTTGGGATTATGGTCAGCATAGACTGATTAAACCAAAGGGTCTGCTTCTGTCCTGTATGACTATGACTCTGAGTGCGTCACGAAGCAACAAAATAGAATGCAGTTATTTGGTTTTGCTAACAGGTTTTCTTCCATTTCATAAAATGCTAAATCACTTTTTCTGTTCATATAGCGAAATGGCGAAACCTCCACTGAAAGACGTATAGCATCCTTCCACATGGAGAAGAAATACCGGAGCGAAAATGGCTGGTCTCTTGTAAAGGGTATAGAGAAAAGACCAGGGGACTGGGAATACCAGGATGAAGGAGTTACACATACCTCACAGGAAAAGAGTCACATAGCTACTAGTGGAATAGAAACAGTGGGATACTGCCATCGATTCTGCATTGAAATCACCCAAGTTTATAAACAAAACATTTTTATAGACCATTTTCACAACTTCAGGCCATCCCAAAGCAATTTTTAGAAAACAAAAAAACTTTAAGTGTCATCACTGTTACAATATGGAAAAAAATTTTGTATTACTAGAATTACCTCTTCCTGATTATTCCACAATAATCCCCAACTGAGGGGCTTGGTAATTTGGCCAATGTCACATGACAACAACAAATTATTCACCAAATCTTTTAGCTCATTCTTCTTTCAAATGAAGAATATTACATGAATTATTGTTCACATATTGTGCCTATCAACTCATACTCACTATTCCCCGTATGTTTAGGGCTGGCAAGGTTACTACCAGTGCTGGCAATAGACACTTTGAGAAGGGATTTGTCAAGGCCTTTAATGCAGCAGTCTACTCCAGTCATGGCACACAGCTGCTCCTGGTATTCATTTGATGCCTTTTCAAACCTGAAGGTGATTGAATACAGAGCAATGTAGTGAAGTGTATTTTTAAATGAGATATTTCAAATGCAGCATAACACAACAACTGTTGCGCAAGATTTTATCCCCAAAGCAAACAACGATAAACTGGAAAATTTAAAAAAGGTAAAGTCAGAACCCACATAATGGTACTTTACCACATCAAGTAACATCTGAAGCTCGATCAAAGGAACCAAATCAATGAGATAATGAGACCATCAGGTCAGCTTTTCCACACGCTCACAATCAAAGTGTCAACACAAAGCCCTAAAAAAATTCAAATTCTCCATTGTATAAGAATTGAGATAGACCATGGAAGAAAAAGTCTCATCACAACTCTCTAGTTGTGTTGCAACTGCCTTAAAAATCTAATATTCCAATAAATAAGTGACAAAGTAATAAAAATTGGCAAGACTAACAGATTTAATTTTTAAAACCATAAAACTTCAAAGGAACACAATCATGGGTCTGTGGAATAGGAAAACATAAATCAATTAACTTCTGCGCTCCCACAATAATTTCACCCAAGGGCTGAATCTGGAGGATTGCCTACCCTACCAAAAGGTATATGGGTTAGACTTGGAGTCAACTGACGTCATTCGCAATTCTAAAGAGAGCAGTAGCATTCATTTTTACAATCTTGCTTAAGACAAATGATTCAATTTCACTTCTTTCATCCAAGGGATTTATCAGCTTTCAGCTTCCTTTTAATTAGTTATTGAAATGACCATCTGGTCCGTAACCTCCATCTCCTACAACTTCCATTATGAAGTCAGGCACAAAACCTTTGTTATGTCCTCCGCCTCTAATGAAGATTTTCTTCGACCCAAACTAATTGTTAACATTTTGTATATTGAGAAACTATTCTAGGGTTTGTTTTTTTTTTTTTTAAAAGTAGAGATCAGTCTGAGACTGGTGCAGTTGGGAAAGAAGCAAGACAAACACAGTCAGGGCAGGCTGGAACAAAGCAGAGAACGAGGTAGGACTGGTAAATTAAACTGCATTTATTTCAACGTAAGGCAGATGATTCAGGGCATGGTTGAGAACATGGGACTGGGATATCATAGCAACTACAGAGACATGGCTCAGGGATACAGTTGAGAGGGTTGGATTATGAGGAAAGACTGAGTAGACTGGGATTATACTCATTGGAATTCAGAAGAATAAGGGGAGATCTTATAGAAACATAAGATTATGAAGGGAATAGATAAGGTGGAGGCAGGGAGGTTGTTTCCGTTAGCAGGTGAAACTAGGACTAGAGGGCATCGCCTCAAAATAAAGGGAAGCAGATGTAGGACTGAGGTCAGGAGGAACTTCTTCACCCAAAGGGTTGTGAATCTGTGGAATTCCCTGCCCAGTGAAGCTGTTGAAGCTACCTTGCTGAATGTTTTTAAGGCAAGGCTAGATAAATTTTTGAACAGTAAAGGAATTAAGGGTTATGGTGAGCATGCGGGTAGGTGGAGCTGAGTCTCAAAAAGATCAGCCATGATCTTATTAAACGGCAGGGCAGGCTCGAGGGGCCAGATGGCCTACTCCTGCTCCTAGTTCTTATGACAGACAGGTCTGGCAGCTTAAATGTTCCAGGGTATAGATACTATAGGAAGGATAGTAATGCTCGGGGATGGGGGGTTTGATTATGAATAACATTACAGCTGTGCTTAGTGAGGATATTCCTGGAAATACATTCAAGGAAGTTATTTGGGTGGAACTGAGAAATAAAGGGATGATTACCTCACTGGGATTGTACTAAAGACGCCCCCAATAGTCAGTGGGAAATTAAGAAGAACTTGTAAGGAGATCTGAGTTATCTGTAACAATAATAGGGTGGTTATGGTAGGAGACATTAACTTTCCAAACATAGATTGGGACTACCAAAAGTGTTAAGGGCTTGAATGGAGAAGAATATACATAAATGATCTGGAGGAAGGTATAGATGGTCTGATTAGCAAGTTTGCAGATGACACTAAGATTGGTGGAGTAGCAGATAGTGAAGGGGACTGTCGGAGAATGCAGCAGAATATAGATAGATTGGAGAGTTGGGCGGAGAAATGGCAGAGGGAGTTCAATCCAGGAAAGTGCGAGGTGATACATTTCGGAAGATCCAATTCAAGACCGAACTATACTGTAAATGGAAAAGCCCTGGGGAAAATTGGACCTGAACACCCAGATCTCTCTGTGCATCATTGTACCCTGAAGGTGGCAACACAGGTCGATAGAATGGTCAAGGCGGCATACGGCATGCTTTCATTCATTGGACGGGGTATTGAGTACAAGAGTTGGCAGGTCATGTTACGGTTGTATAGGACTTTGGTTCAACCACATTTGGAATACTGCTTACAGTTCTGGTCGCCACATTACCAAAAGGATGTGGTTGCTTTGGAGGGGCTGGAGAGGTGGTTCACCAGGATGTTGCCTGGTATGGAGGGCACTAGCTATGAAGAGAGGCTGAGTAGATTAGGATTATTTACATGAGAAAGACGGAGGTTGGGGGGGAGGGGGACACCTGATTGAGGTCTACAAAATCATGAGAATAGACAGGGTGAATAGCAAGCAGCTTTTTCCCCCCAGAGTGGGGGGACTCAATTACTCGGGGTCATGATTTCAAGGTGAGGGGAAAGTTTAAGGGAGATATGCGTGGAAAATTCTTTACGCAGAGAGTGGTGGGTGCCTGGAACGCATTGCCAGCGAAGGTGGTAGAGGCGGGCACGATAGCGTCATTTAAGATGTATCTAGACAGATACATGAATGGGCAGGGAGCAGAGGGATACAGATCCTTGGAAAATAGGCGACAGGTTTAGATAGAGGATCTGGATCGGCACAGGCTTGGAGGGCTGAAGGGCCTGAACCTGTGCTGTAATTTTCTTTGTTCTTTGAATCTGTTAAGTGTGTACAAGAAAACCCTGATTCAGTATGTGGATGTACCTACTAAAAAAGCTGCAAAACTTGACCTACTCTTGGGAAATAAGGCAGGGCAGGTGACCAAGGTGTCAGTGGGGGAGCACTTTGGGACCAGTGACCATTATTTTACTAGCCTTAAAATAGTGATGGAAAGATTAGACCTGATCTAAAAGTTGAAGTTCTAAATTGGAGGAAGGCGAATTTTGGTGGTATTAGGCAAGAACTTTCAAAAGTTGATCGGGGCAGGCAAAGGGGGTGGCTGGAAAATGGAAAGGATTCAAACATGAGATAACGAGAATCTGAGAGACAATATGTGCCTGTTGCGGTGAAGGGCAAGGCTGGTAGGTATAGGGAATGCTGGATGACCAGAGAAATTAGGTTTTGGTCAAGTAAAAGAAGGAGGCGTATGTCAGGTACAGACAGCAGGAATCGAGTGAATCCCTAGAAGAGTATAAAGGCAGTAGGATTATACACAAGAGGGAAATCAGGAGGGCAAAAAGGGGACATGGGATAGCTTTGGCAAATAGGGTTGAGAATCTACAAATACATCAAGGACAAAAAAGGGTAACTAGGGACAGAATAGGGCCCCTTAAAGATCAGCAAGGCCGCTTGTGTGTGGAACCGCAAATGAGGAAGATACTAAACAAGTATTTTGCATCAGTGTTTACTGTGGAGAAGGATATGGAAGATACAGAATGTGGGCAAATAAATAGCCATATTACAGAGGTGGTGGTGCTTAAAACACAAAGGTGCATAAATCCCTGGGATCAGATCAGGAGTACACTAGAACTCTGTGGAAAGCTAGGGAAGTGATTGCTGGGCCCCTTGCTGAGATATTTGTATCTTGGATAGCCACAGGTGAGGTGCTGGAAGACTGGAGGTTGGCTAACGTGGCACCACTATTTAAGAAAGGTGGTAAGGAAAAGCAGGGAACTACAGACCAGTGAGCTGATATCGATGGTGGGCAAGTTGTTGGAGGGAATCCTGAAGGACAGGATTTACATGTATTTGGAAAAGCAAGGACTGATTAGGGATAGTCAATATGGCTTTGTGCATGGGTAATCTTGTCTCACTAACTGGATTGTGTTTTTTGAGGAAGTAGCAAAGAGGATTGGTGAGGGCGGAGTAGTGGACATGATCTATATGGAAACCGAAAGAACTGCGGATGCTGTAAACCAGGAACAAAAACAGAAGTTACTGGTAAAGCTCAGCAGTCTAGCAGCATCTGAAGAAGAGAAACAGAATTAACATTGAGACCGGTGACCCTTCCTCAGAGCAGTTCTAAAGAAGGGTCACCGGACTCAAAACGTTTACTCGGACTTTTTCTTCACAGATGCTGCCAGACCTGCTGAGCTTTTCCAGCAACGTATGAAGTATATGGAGTTCAGCAAGGCGTTCGACAAGGTTCCGCATGGTAGACTGGTTAGTAAGATTAGATCACATGGAATACAGGGAGAAATAGCGATTTGGATACAGAACTGGCTCGAAGGTTGAAGACAGAGGGGTGGTGGTGGAGAATTGTTTTTCAGACTGGAGGCCTGTGACCAGCAGTGCATCACAAGGATCGGTGCTGGGTCCACTGCTTTTCATTAATTATATAAACAATTTGGATGTGAACATGGAGATATGATTAGTAAGTTTGTAGATAACACCAAAATTGTTGTAGTGGACAGCAAAGGTGGTTACCTCAGTGTATAATGGGGTCTTGATCAGATGGGCCAAGGATGGCAGATGCAGTTTAATTTAGATAAATGTGAGGAGCTGCATTTTGGAAAGGCAAATCAGGGCAGGACTTATACACTTAATGGTAAGGTCCTGGGGAGTGTTGCTGAACAAAGAGACCTTGGAGTGCAGGTTCATAGTTTCTTCAAAGTGGAATCGCAGGTAGACAGCAGTGAAGGCGGCATTTGGTACGCTTGCCTTTATTGGTCAGTGCATTGAATATAGGAGTTGGGAGGTCATGTTGTGCTGTACTGGACATGGGTTAGGCCATTTTTGGAATACTGCATGCAATTCTGGTCTCCCTCCCATAGGAAGGAGTTGTGAAACTTCAAAGGGTTCAGTAAAAATTTCCAAGGATGTTGCCAGGGTTGAAGGGTTTGAGCTATAGGGAGAGGCTGAATAGGCTGGGGCCATTTTCACCGGAGTGCGAAGGCTGAGAGGTGACCTTATAACATCATGAGGGGCATGGATAGGGTAAACAGACAAGGTCTTTTCCATGGGCTGGGGAAGTCCAAAACTAGAGGGCATTGGCTTACGGTGAGAGGGGAAGATTTAAAACAGACCCAGGGGCAACTTTTTCACGCAGAGGATGGTGCATGTATGGAACGAGCTGCCAGAGGAAGTGGAAAAGGCTGATACAACGACAACATTTAAAGGCATCTGGACAGGTATATGAATAGGCAGGGTTTAGAGGAATATGGGCTAAATGCTGGCAAATGGGACTAGATTTATTTAGGATATCTGGCCGGCATGGATGAGTTGGACAGAAGGGTCTGTTTCCATGCCGTACAGCTCTATGACTATTTAAAATCTGGTCTACTCATCTTTTCACAATAACTTTTTCAATTTATTCTTGTACTTTCCATAATCTTCCTGCTTAGTGGTTGGAAGCTCTTCACATTTGTCATTTTTGTTTTATTTCAACTTCGTTTCCCTTCGCCACCCAAACATCATTAGCTTTGGAATTTGGACTTTTTCCAATTGAAGGACATGCTTAATTTGTTCATGAATTCTCTTACCTTTATTTTCATTTCAGCTTTATTACTACAAGGCCTTTTCCAATCTGTGTTCCCTTTTAAAGTGCAGTATGCATACTGACATTTCAATCTGGGACTCAAGGGCCATGGGGAAGTGGAGTTGAGGATTGTCAGATCAGCTACAACTTCACTGAATTGCAGGGCCAATTCGATGCTTATGTTCCTGTGTCTTACTGTCATAGTTTAGTCTAGTTATAAATGCATCCATATAAACACACAGAGGTATAGATAGAGTAGACATCTAGAGACTTTTTCCTAGGGTGGAGGTAGCTATTACAAGGGGGCATAGTTTTAAAGTGAGTGGAGGTAGATACAGAGGAGACGTCAGAGGTAGGTTCTTTACTCAGAGTGGTAGGGGCATGGAATGCATTGCTGGAGAGGGTAGTGGAGTCAGCCTCATTAGGAGCATTTAAGTGGCTATTGGATAGGCATATGGATTTTTAGTATAAGGTAGGGGTGGAGATTAGATAGACCTTTGGATTAGGGTAAAAAGTTCAGCACAACATTGTGGGCCAAAGGGCCTGTACTGTGCTGTACTGTTCTATGTTCTATTGTTAACCTAATATTATCTCATTCTGCTTGACTGCAACCCACGTAGATTTTGGTACTTTAATATCATGTGGTTCTAGCTTACTAGACGGCAAACAAATCTACCTGGGGATTTCACCAAGCTATACTGTAAGAACTTTCAACCTTCATGGCTGAATGGAGTTTAGTTTTTTTAAATCTGTTATCAGAAAAATTATTTAGTGTTGTCAACAAAGGGTTGGAAGGTAGAAAGGAGAAATAACATTTGTTTCAATTCAATGTTTTAGAAGATCATGTTTGACTAAACAAATTCTATTAGACTTAACATTGCAATAACATGTACTTACATTTGTAACTGTATAATCCTTCAGATTATCACTCAAGACTACATATTAACGGAACATACATATATATCTCTCTACCTCATGCGTTATACACTGTATACAAACTTCATAATAAGCAATGTGCACAATGTATATCACTGGCTTTGTAAGTTATATCAGTATTTTGTGATCTTCAATATTCACATGGTTTTAAGTAATTTTTTCCCTCACTTCTTGTTTTAAAAGTTGTGAAAATTGATCCAAGCACCCACAATCACAGGGTGGAAAATATCTAAGAAATGGCCTCTGAAAACAAATAATCAGACACATGCTCGATTTAATGAGGAACTTGCACCAATTAAACAAAAACTGAAACTACAAGCATGGGTATGGCAGCAAATAATACCCCATCCTGAACAATGGGCCAAGGAAAACATCTTAAAATGACACCCTCATCTTCGGAAAGTCACAAGAACATAATGGGCCAATGGACGCCTTAAAAAGGCAATCAGGAGATACTGTGAGGTGACATCAGTCAATGTCTATCGCCTTCAAGGGCCAATTACAGGTATACTTCACCACTGCTAGGCCAATCAGAATCTTATAACATCACTGATTATGCTATGCGTTCTAGATTGGAAAGCATTGACAACGCATGGCCTTTCAGAGATCAAGGCATGCAAACCCAATTTGAAATTCATGCCAGTAGAACCTGCTATCCAGTCAGTGAGAAGACCAGCAACCGACTGTCAATTGCACGCCTTAAGTTGAAGCAGGAAGCAAGAGCCATGACAAGCCATAAAGTTGCCTTGCTGCCTTATTACTTAAGTTTCCCAAGTTACTCCCCAATGCCTGAACGGTTCAAGCAGCAAGCAAATAAATAAATAAATAGCATAATTTGGGCCCAATTCAAAATCCAAAACGTACAGAAGTCAATGAAATTGTCTTCCCAGTTAATCAATTTTACCCTTGATATTTTCTGATCTGTCTCCATTACTGCTCGACAGTGAATGATATTACGAGTGCTGTTATCGAAGTTATCACATGCTCCCCTATTTAATTACCCAGAACAAGATACAACCTTATCTCCCTTCCTAATTTCCTTTGTGAACTGGAGACAATCAAGTTGTCCTGTACACATCAGAAATTCCTCTCCTTCTATACTCTTATCATTAAATTTCTTCCAGTTCAAGCTGGAGTGATTAAAGATCTCCCCATATTACTATTTAATTAATGTCATTGAAATTTGTCAAATTTGTACATCACTTGTACTCAATTCTTCATTTTAAAAATGAATTGTACATTGAGTTTTATTTCTAGATGTGGAATGTTTTGTTGAACAGTTGATAATGTATCAAGGGTCAATTTTGCAGCATCTGGTCTGTAGGTTATGATAATGTTAATCAAGGAAGACCCTTTTTGTAAATTTAAAACAAAGTTTACTTTATACATAAAACAACTTATACCTTCCTTCAGCTTGCTGTGCCACAGAATTTATCCATGAAAGGCTCTTTGCAAGGACAGCAGAAGACCAGACAGCCATTCCTTGTATAGCTTCAGGACAATTCAGTTCACAGAGTGCTTCAACAATCATCATAACTGTCACTTCCATTTCATTTCCCTAATAAAAACATTCAAAACAGTTATTATCTGAATCGTAGAAGACATGCCATCAGAAGCAGAAATGAATAAGCTATGACAGCGAAAGGCACTCAGATTTCTGAACTGTAAAGATCAGATTTGATGTAACACTTTTGCTAGAATCATTTCAGATGAAATGAACGAAACACCTCAGTAAAATGAATAGGGTTCAAATGTTATTACTTTAGGAACTCCAAGGTTTACATTTGTTTCTGATATGTGAACTACATGAGACTGTGCTCAACAACAGTGAATTTGCTGAAGTGATGCCAGGTAAGTGGTGCTAATAAACATACTGTTATATCACCGAACTAATTTATAAATTAAACTTGACATAACAAGATCCACAAAATGTAAACCTCTCTCCACCCAAAGTTTTTGCATTATTTGCATTTTTGTGTTTTATATGCTATGAAGACCCAAATGCTTCTTTGCATTTTTCATTTTCCTGCTTTAAACCATTCACTTATTACACTGTTTTCCACTTTTTGGTAACAAATACTTCAGTGGATTTTTAGTTCTTTCTGAAGTAATTTACCAGCATGGTACAACTCCTGGGAGATTTTCCAACTATGTCGTCTCCAATCAGCGACAATATGTTGAGGGGAGTCATCTGCATTTCTTGGTGTATGAATGACCAATCTGTTGGCATAGCTCAAGGGCAAGATATGTTTCACCATATCCCACTCTACCAAAAAAACAACTTTCCTAGCCAGTGCCAGCACATTACAATAAACAAAATACCCCAGATACAGGAAATCCGAGAAACAGGAAGTACTAATAAAAAAAACTCAACAAATCTGACAGCATCTTGGAGAGAAATTAGCAATTCAAATACAACTCCCCTTAAGCATTCTGATGAAAGGTCATGGTTGAAATGCTAACTTGTTATTTCTCTCTGCAACTTTAATAGTTCCTTTGCTGACTAGCTCTTTATAATAGTTATAAACAGGGTGATATATTAAGTGCTTTTGGGTGGGGTGGGGTGGGGTGGGAGGGAGGATTACCACAAACACAGCTTTTAAATTTCCTCTCCTTCAATCAGTCTGTAATTAGTTGTAAACATTCTGATTTCATTTTCGGTGAGTAATTATGATGCCTTTTGTATGTTGTAGTTCGCAGGGTGAATGTTATTTTATTATTTATAGCTGCACAAGAGGGTCTGAACAAGGAAGAGCTGAGAGCAATTTGAAAACAAAATGCTCAGTAAACTGTCCACCTTTCCACTGCTAGTTTCAAGATGTTATGTAATTGTGCAATGCTGATTGTTAACTGTTAGTTACTACCTGCCTGGTGAATGGAAGTGGATCCTGATTGCTTCCTATTAAATCAGAGGACTTTTGCAGTTGATGAGTACAATTAATTCAACAATGATCATTTTTCCTTCGTCAGTTTTTGCCTACTGCACACTTTGAAGGTGATTTCTGATAGGTCTTGATCATTTTTAAATGCGTGTAATGAATGGATCACTACTGTTTTATGTATTTTCCAGGATATGCTGTTTAGATGTTTCCTTGCTTTGTCTCCCAAAGGTAATCATTGAGTGGCTAATATTCCCATCAACTCTTCATAGGAAGAGTTTCAAATTCTCCACTTTAGTCACTAGATTGAACCCATTGTGATTGTCTAAGGTGGGGAAGTAAATTGTTGTGACTGGAGAGCTCCACTTTGAGTTGCCCGAAACTAGATCCCAAAAGCATACCTTAAATACCAGGTTGTTGACAGCTTCCTCAATTTTAGTACAGTCGATGAAATGTTGCACCTACCTGAGATACACTGCTGTTCTTCATCTCTGTCAGCAAATCAAATCCATGCCTGACTGTCACAGCTGGCTGCCCAGCCAACAAGCCAACCCGCATTATAGCCACTCGGATCCGTGTTAACCAGTCGTGACATGTCTGGCGATTTGTGTAAAAAAATGTCCTAATGACCTGCAATGTAGGATCATAAATAACTTAAAAAAGGAGAACACTGCGTGCCAATGTTAAACACGAAAATACACACAACGTAGATTGAAATACAGAACTGCAGATGTTAGAAATCTAAAACCAAAACAAATTGCTCGAGAAATTCAGCAGGCCTGACAGCATCTTTGGGGTGAAAGCAAAGTTAACATTTCAAGTCCAGCGACTCATCATCAGAACTCAACTTAAAAGATGACCAGTTCTGATGAAGATCCACCGGACTTGAAGTGTTAACTCTGCTTTCTCCCCACAGATGCTTCTAGACCTACCAAGTTTCTCCATCAATTTGTGTTTTTGCTACAATAGGTACTGTTTTTTCCAAATCTGAATGATTTGGGTAATCCATACAAATGGACTTGAATTTGGACTAAACAAACTGATGGTAACCTTTGGTGGTGCTGTAAGTGCATTAGCACATCCTTCATATGCATTGTACATCAACTTCTCAAGGTTTTCCAAAAACTGAAGTAGAAGAATAAGTCTCAGCTGGTTGCTTGTATGCCCATCATCATTGTCAGCCGTGGTCCACTGGCTTATATCATGGTCAGGATTCAAAGTATGTGCAGCCAAACTCCTAATAATACCTGGAATTTTAAGGGACAAATTGCATAAGTTAGGTGCATACAACAATTGATCAGAATGCTACTTTTTTTTAAATAAAAAGATGACTCTAAAACAAGAATTTGCTGGAAGACACAATCAAAGAGATTGCCATTTCACAGAAGGTAGAATACTTATTCAACAGGGTGGGAAAGTAAAGCAGGAAATACTGAATGTCCTGAGAAAATAGTCTGACAGCGTGGCTGCTAAGTGATGTTTTTTTCCCTTTATTCTTTCATGGAATGTGGATAGCATTTGTTACTCATTCCCGAATGCCTTGGAAACGAGTGGCTTGCTGGCCATTCCAGCAGACAATTAAGAGTGAACTTTATTGCTGTGCATTGAGATAATTTTGGACTAGTTCAGGTAAGGATGGCAGATGCTCTTCCTTCAAAGGACATGAGAGAGCCACTCAAATGAATGCAACATACTGGAAATCTGAAATGGAGAGAAAATGCTGGAAGAGGAACAAAGTTAACATTTCTCACTGAAACATAAAAGATTCTTAAAAGAGTCTTGACAGGGTAAATGCAGAGACAATTTTTTCCCCTCATGGGAAAGTCTAGAACCAGAGGGCATAGTCTCAGAATAAAGGGAATGCCAATTTAGTACTGAGATGGGGGCGGAATGTCTTAAGGGTTTGTGGACCTCCCTGTCACAGAAGCTAAGGAGGCAGAGTTCTTATGTATACTTAAGCAGAGACTTTGAAGAACGAACATCGGCCATCCTTACCTGAACTAGTCCAAAATTATCTCCATATGCACAGCAATACAGTTCACTCTTAATTGTCTGCTGGAATGGCCAGCAAGCCACTCCTTTCCAAGGCAATCAGGAATGAGTAACAAATGCTGTCCACATTCCATGAAAGAATAAAGGGGTTAAAAAAAAATGACTGACAGCACGGCTGCTAAGCCTATTTTCTTGATCAGTCCAGGAATCAAAGGCTACAGGGTAAACACAGGAAAGTGGATGCGAAGAACGCCAGATCAGCCTTGATCCTATCAAATGATGCAGCAGGCTCTAACTGCTGAATGGCCTACTGCTCCTCTTATTTCCTACGGCCTCATGGAGTCAATACGACATCTATAGAACTGCTTCATCCTCAGTGGTAGGGTCATGGCTCAGGGAGACATTGAAGGAAGTGTCTGACAGTTGCTGCTCAGTCTCTGCCAGGTAGAGGTCAGGGCACCGGATAACAACGACATCCACGTTTAATCAGCAGTTTGATAAAGTCAAAGTTAGACCCAAGAGCGGGACACATCAGAATGCATGAGGGGAGAAGAGAAATTAAGCAAATCAAATCAAAATTCCCACTGAGATCAAGTGCGGTAGTGGCAGGAGTGGAGCAGGAAGAGGATCCCTGTCCTGTAGTTCAGGAGAGTTATACTGGACTCAAAATATTACCTGTCAACAGATGTTGCCAGATCTGCTGAGTTTCTCCAGCATTTTCTCTTTTACATTTCAGAACCTCACTGATTGCTGTAAAAAACCTACAATACTTTCATGATCATCATTATTGAGACTAGCTTTATCAGAATTGATACAATGCAGGAGGCAGCTATTTGGCTCAATGAGTCTGCAGTAGTTCTCAATGAACGTTATGACTTTGTGCCATTCTCCTGCCTGTTTGCCATAATCAGGAATCATGAATCTCTCAGCGTACTAGATTTAGTTCTACGTTTCAGGGGAATTTAGTTTCAACCGGTTGTTTTAGGACAATTAGTTTGGACCTCTGGATTACTAATCCCAGAGGCATTACCAATATACCATCATCTTTCCCCATACTTGTTTCAAGGGAGATACCTAGGTAGCTCATGAGAGATATCAGTCTACTGGGCAAAGGTGGGTGCCCAGGGAGCAAGAGCTGAATGCAGGAATACTGTAACAGTAGGAGCAGATTCAAAAACAAGACTAATTTCTTTTTTGACAGACATTTGTCCAAATGGTGTGAACTCCTCACTCCTTTTTTTTTTTAAGGAAAGTACCACAAATAAAGTATAAGGGGAATGCTGCAACTCTAAGTAAATTATTGATGTGCCTCTGCTCACCTGCTTGGAAAGGTTCAGACTAAGCTGTGAAAAAAGTTTTTGAAGAGGGAATGGATTGTTAGTTTTAACAGGAAGGTGCCCACAGTTGGAAAAAAAAAAATTGCAATATTATGTATGTGAGCGAGGAAAGGATATTGGGTTGTCAGGAGTTGTGTCAAGGAAGAAAAAGATAAGTTTCATAGAGGAGAGTTCAAAAGAGTTTGTGGAAGTAGAAGTTGAACAAAGAGGATGGGAACATAACATCAAGACAGTGAAATCTCTATAAGAATTGAAATGCATGACTACAGATTGATCTAATTACCTTCAATTGTTTGGAATGTATCTTGTGCTCTGCCCAGCGGTGTTCGTAGTTTTGAAAGCACTGTAAATTGTGCTGCTTCCCACACAGCCCATTGCCATAACACAGCTTCTGTCTTTAATAGGTTTCGTGGAATAGATGACTGATCATATTTGTCTAATCTCTGGCAGCTGTGAAACAGCCTCTCCAGCCAATGATCTTTGCTGAAAGTAAAGGAAAGCTTACACCAGTTCTATGCGACAATCAGGAACATTTGAGAGTCCAATGTGCCAATTACTTGAACATAAAATACTAAGAAAATCTAGCAAAGGGATTTAAAAATAAAATTCAAACCTACCCAATTCTGTGACAGCTTCCGTACAAAATGAAACTGATCAGATCAGAGAAGTCTTGAGGATGAAATGTGTTACTTGGAGCTTTACTCATATGACCACTTATAGCCAGTGAGATCCCTTGTACTTCTGTGTGATTGCTGTTACTGTGAAGAAAAAAATATTCAATTTTATAACCAGCATCCTATTGTTTACACATTATACAAACATTATAACTTTACTATGTGCAGTTTTTAATAAAAGTCTGCCTTTATTGGAAAAATCAACTGCAGTGTGGCAAAAGGTGTGGAACGGCAGTCCACACAATCACACTGGGGCCATTGTTGTTCATAATTTAGATTCATGATTTGAATTTCAAAATCAAAAGCTAATATCTAAAATTGCAGATACCACCTATCTTCACCAGCCCCCCGGCCCCAAGTGGTGATCTGATAGACCTTGTTAAAATTATGGAAGTTTTTGATAGTTCCGAGAAGTCATATCTGGCTTGAGACAACAACGTTTTCTTTACAGATCCTGCCAGACCAACCACATTGTCTGGAACTTCCTCTTATTTCAGATTTCTCACATCCGGTGTATTTTGGTTTTGTTTTCCCCTCAGAATCTTATCTGTTTCAGTAAGACCACCACTCATTCTTCTAAGCTCCAATGAATAAAAGCCTATCCCATGTAGCCATTCTTGATAAGGCAACCCCTTCATCCCGGCATCAAGCCTAGTAAATCTTTGAAATATCACCAATGGCAAAAAACCCAATCTTAACTATACACAGTACTCCAGGTACAGCCTCAACAACACCTTGTTCAGTTATGCCAAAACATCTTGTTTTTAAACTCCAAACTCTGGCAATAAAGGCTAAAACCTCATTTGCCTTAATTAATTACACTACCTGAATGCTAACCCTTTGTGTTTCATGCAAAAGAACATCTACATCCCTCTGCACTGTGTTTGTTTGGACCCTCTCAATTTAAATAGTCCGTCTTCTGATTCTTTCGACAAAAGTGAATGACCTCACAGCTTCTTGTATTAAACTCTCTCAAGTGTTTGCCCATTCATTCTACCTATTAGTATCTACTTGCAGATTCCTTATGCCCTTGTCTAATGCCCTCCCACTTATTTTTATATCATCAGTATCATATGGATACATTACACTCTGCCCCTCTTTCAAATCATTAGTAACCTAATTACCTTTAGATCAACAAATATGAAGTCTATTAAAATCAATATCGGAAGGGATGGTTAGAAGATATTTTGAAGTTAAAGTTAATCACACCTTAAAGCAACATCCAGAGGAATAGTCTTCAGAAGTTTCCCAAAAGCTTGCCTAACACGAACTCCACAGTGGACCAGTTGCACACGACACACATCGACACATCTATGCAGCAAAATCAATAATTTGTGAATTTTAGATATGACTCCTAAAAAATGAACACTGATAGAATTCTCAAAGAGTAACTAACAGCAAAATTTTTAAAATTCAATTTTTACCTTTGCAAGAGGTCATTTGGCAAGGAAGTAGAAACAATTTGTAGGCTGCTGCATGCTTGCAAGCAGATTGAAGCATCTTCATGAACAGCTGTTTTTAAAAAACAGGAATAATAGGTGAACATTGCTTTAAAACATTAATATTAAATCACTGATTGACAGAAATCTTACCATTTGATAGCAGCCCTTTGCAGAATTTGTGAAAAGATGGAATAGCAAACAGGGGAGCGTAAGTTTCCGACTTCTTCATTAAAATGCTAACTTCCAATGCCCAGGTTAGTAATAACTTCCTGAGATTCGAAAGATTTAAAAGAAATTAAGCAAAGTACACAATTCTTAAACGTTAAAGAATTTACAATGACAAATATCAAACCAAAATGCTTTGGTGGAAAAAATAAATTGGTAAAAAATAAATTGGTAAAAAAACAAATCTTGTTTACCTTACATCGTGGTTTAAGATATCCTTACTGAGCAACATTCCTAAAAGATTCAGTATGATGGAAAAGTGTTTCTTTGTTGCCATGGTGACAGTACTGATAACAGCACCATCAAACAGAGAAGGCGATGATGAGCTAAGACTGCTGGATATGAAATGATCATGCCTGCAAACAAAACCAAATGAACAATTTCTACACTACTTAGAATTGCACAAAAAAAAATCCATTGGACTTGTTTTGGAAAGAATTATGTTTTAAAAAATTGCACACAAGATTGCTAAAATTTCAAAGGAAAATGGACAGTTCAAATAAATTTCAAATGACCTCACACTTTCTTGTATTAGATGCTCCCAAATATTTGCCCATTTATTCTACCTATCAGTATCTACTTGCAGACTCCTTATGCCCTTGTCATAATGGATTTGAACTGTTTTAGCTTCCTATGAATTTACTTAAAATATAAGACATGCAAGTAGATGTATATCAAAGCTCTCATGTAAAGGTCAACTTTCTGATACACAAGATACTTGCCCAATTAAACTAGCAGATTCTTAAATCCTCTGGTCCAAAATTCTTGCTACATGGCTATAATCTCCAACTCTCATCCCTACTAATGCAACAATCTAAACCTTCCAAACTTCTTTAACAAATTAAAACCGTTTACCGAATTAAAATACAACAGTTTCAGATACAAAGATTAAAGACTCTACCTCCAATAGGCTGAAACTAACTTAGAAGCATTGATGCCTCTATAAATCAAATGAAAAATTCCCACTCTGCCCCAAATGAATAATTATTGCACCATACAGGAACATAAATTAACCTTTAAATGGGAGATACTTCCATTTGTTCGAATGTCATTTAATTTTATTGAATATAAGAAACAGAAATTATACAGGACAGTTAAAAGAAATTACACCAATTTAATAAGAGCAGACATACCTTGTACAATGCGAATATAAAGTGTACAAGACTCCATACTGAATGGCAGGATAATGGACTGCAAGATTGGCATGTACAATTGTAAGGTTATCACTGAGAAGGGCAAACACAGTGGGAGAAAGAGCCCACATCTGTATGGGAAAGGTGCAAAACATTATTGAAAACAATTAACACGCAATAGTACATTTATCCCACAATAAACTGCAAAAAGTTATTTGCAATTAGGGAAAGATACTTCTGGAACTTCATAATTTGTTCATGTCGCATATTTCAAACAAAATTTTAGAGGATCACGTTTTAAAGTTTATGTACGGTTTAGGGGCCATAGGCACTGGCATATCCTATGCATAGACAACTAAGATGCAAGACACTTCTTAAACATTGCTCTTCACAATATTAATTAGAACTTATATTTGCATTCTGCATGTTAAGAAATTACATTTCAAATTTGTTCTGAGTGGTACAAGGCTGACTGGAAGTCTGCTTTGATTATGTGCATTTCAATGAGTGGATCCGTATGGGACTTGGGAGCAGTGGAAGTGAAGTTTAACAAGGGAGAGCAAAAAATATTTCAAAGTGGGAGGCTGTTTCATCAAAAACAAAGTGTAGTGTCACAGGAGAGCAGGTAGGTAATTGGTGGATATTGCTCTCAACTCTTGCAAATGAATACATTTTCAAATCAAGGCTGTATGTACAGCTCAACAAATTTAAGCAGATAACTCATTTTAAAACTTCCAAATTAAATTTTTGCTTGATAAAATTAGAAGATCCCAACAGCTTGTCTGAGAAAGAATAATAAAGACTTTTCTAGTCTATACTTGAGTAGGAGTAGGGGTAAAATTTAACTAAGTGTCCATATTCTATTTAGCTAAGATACATCTGCCAGCTCAGGTAGATTTGCACATCTATGATTTAAACATCCTGCACTCTGTGGGAGATCTTAGATGTTTCGGTTGGTCTGAACAGCCACATGTCAGGAGGTGCCTCCAGCCAGATCATGCGCTGTGGGCTTTGGAGCTTCAGTGGCAGCTGGGAGGTTACCATGGTGCAATCATGTGGCTAAAAGGTTTGTAGATGATGTGGTCACCTCCACAGCTAATCAAATGCAAGCAGAGGGGGAATGGGTGACCAGGAGACTAAACAAGTGAAGTAGGCAAACAGCAGGGCAATCCCAAGTGCATCTCACTTGCAAACATCTTCCTAGTCTTGGAAAACGGCAGTTCCTCTGTAAAGGATCAATGGACTAGCCAGGTGGCCAGAGCAGTAGCAAATGGAATTCAACCTGGAAAAGTGAGGCGCAATGTAGTAGGGAGGTACCAAGACTAAGAGGAAAGTTGAGAATTATTTTCACCTAGAGGGCGATGGGTGTCTGGAACTGACTGCCTTAAGGTTAGTCGAGTCAGAAACTCTCAATATTTACGCAGTATTTACATGTCACTTGCATATCCACAGCCTCTAGGGCCATGAGCCAAGAGTTGAAAATATGATTAACAGTCAGATATGCCACAAGGAAACTAACTGCAACTGTACCAACCAGGGTTTCAGCAGAGATTTTTAATGTGTAGGTAGCTGTAACTCTGCAGAGTGTTTGTAAGGATTTTATTCCAAATAAAGGGATAGTGTGAATTTGAATACTTTTCTGATGTTAAATGAAATATTTCTAACCTTCTAGTCTCATTACATAGCTCATTTTTTCTTGTTTACTAAGGCTTGTTATTTTGTGTTCTGAAAATCATTAGCAGTTTCTCGTGAGTGTGTTCAGTAAGCAACGTCTAGAGTTTTTAAAAAAAAGGCCAAGCTAAAAATCGAACAAACTTGGTTTTGCTCTAGGAACTGGCTTGTCCAGTAATAATGTGAACTGGGATCATATCTCCAAAAATGACAACATTCTATTCTGGCCTTGGACAGTCTGGGCAAGGCATTTCTCAGAAGCAAAAATGTGGAAAAATAAGGCAGTTGTTAGTCCAACAATGGTCTCAGTATGCCATCCAATGGTGTACATGATCTAAAGCAGATCTCCAACTTTATTCACACACACACACAGTGAAAGGGTTAAGTTTAAGACAGAGCCACACATTGTTTAATTTCATTAAAAGCTGTGCAAGTACGTAATTAATTTAACTCTTCCATATCAGCATAATACTTACACCAATCAAGGAATTTTTTGCATTTCCAATTGTAGTAAGGGCACTTAAGTCAAATATTATTACAAACTCTGCATTTTCCTCTTTGAATGTTCTGTCCCTGAAAGCTTCATGCTGTATCTCTGAACAGACCAGAGGAAGAGTCAGGCCTTGAAGGAGACTGTTAAGTGCACATGTCATTTCCCCCAAGATAAGTTTGTAAGCAGTCTCTAACACAGGAATATTCTTCAGGCTTAGCACAGCCTGATATACATATTGTGCTGCTGAAACAACCTGGATAGGAAAAGATAGACAAAAAATATTATTGACATTCAATAACAGTACAAGATAATTTGCTAGAAAAACAAATTTGAACATCTCGCGAGAAAGGTTTAATGCAAAACATTCAAATCTAAAAACCAGTGAACAGGGCTATAATTAGCATAACGTTTGAAGCAAAAATTTATGACTATAGAGTTTTTATTCCATTGGGATCAAACCCACATTACAGCAATATAAAAGTTGGCTAGCCAGTCAGCTAGGGCAAGCCTTCAGGGTTTCTCACACAAAGTAGTCAGAAATCTCAGTATGATAAATTTACAGCAGCACAGAAACAGGAATTGCTATCTTAGTTTGACAGCAATTTTACACATTTTGATGCTTTTTTTTTTAAAAGAAAAGAAAAAGCACAACTGATTAGAAGGTCATTACAGAAGACACTCAAATCTAAATAGTATTCAGAACAAACAAGGACTCTACTTTCTGAAGAAATTCAGGTCATAAGGCATCAATTATACTAATCCTGATTATGCTCATTTACCCCATCTTACAATGGAGCAACTCACAACAACAGCTCCCAAATTAGTAGTCACTAAACTATCAAACACAGCTTCAGGGCAGTCTGTTACCCAAGACTGGAAAGAGCAGCTCAACAATTTGTAGTTCCACAGGACGTTTAAATAATCCAGAACTTTTATACAAGGAAAGATACTCTGACATTAGAGGTAGTCCAGAGATGATTCATTAGCACGTTACTAGGAATGGAGGGACTCTATTACTATGAGGGCAGTTGAGTAGATTAGGGCTGTACTCATTTGAATATAGAAGAATGAAGGGTGACCTTTTTGAAACATACAAGACTCTCGGGACTTGACAGGACAGATGCATCAGACGGGTTGTTTCCCCTGGTGCAAGAGCCTAGAACCAGATGGAAGAGCCTCAATATGGGATTGCCCATTTAAGACAGAGTTGAGGAGGAATTTCTTCTCTCAGAGGGTAGCAAGTCTGTTGAATTCTTTACCACAGAAGGCTGTTGAGGCTGGGTCATTAAGTATATTCAAGGTTGAGACAGAGATTTTTAATCAGTAAATGAATCAAGAGTAGGGAGGAAAAGCCAGTAAAGCGGAATTGAGGATTATCAGATCAGTCACGATCTCATTGACCAGTCGAGCAAATTCAATGGGCTGAATGGTCTACTTCTGCTCCAACATCTCATGGTCCAAATATACAGGTTTGTTAAGATTTAGGTACTAATAAAAGAGCAAGATTAGGAATTAATATTTCTAACACCAATCACACCATGATGTTGGTGTATAAGTTTTTATCATTTTTCTGCACGTATTGAAGGCGGCTGTGTGAAATATCAACTGCCCACTGTGCTAAGTCAGGGTGGTAACTTTTCATTGTAACACATGCTTCTCACTCTCCTCCGAACAGGAAAAAAAATGACAGTTAAGCACTTATTAGAAACCATTACAAAATGTCTTCATTTTAATGAAACTCATTGCATGAACAAGACAAAACTATTCCTGAATGATAAGATCACTGTATGAACCACTTGAAACAGTTGGTAGAATATTTCAAGTGATGACACTTGATGTTTCTCCATCATGTTCAATACTATCTTTCTGCGTTCTAGCTCAAACATCAGTTTATTGTCTACAAATTCTGGAACTTCTTAGCATCTTCTCTCTGCAGCATCTTTAACAGATTATGGTCACCGTCTCCCAGTTTCATTGGAAAGTCAACTGTAAAAACAGATACATTGCCTTGTATAGAATTCCATGCTATGGAGTGCAATGTTGATAAGTGTGAGGTCATCCATTTTGGTAGGAATAACAGCAAAATGGACTATGTTTTAAATGGTGAAAAATTGCAGCACGCTGCTGTGCAGAGAGACTTGAGTGTCCTTGTGCATGAATCGCTAAAAGTAGGTTTGCAGGTGCAGCAGGTGATTAAAAAGGCAAATGGAATTTTGTCTGTCATTGCTAGAGAGATGGAGTTTAAAACAGGGAGGCTATGCTGCAGCTGTATAGGGTCCTGGTGAGGCCACACCTGGAGTACTGTGTGCAGTTTTGGTCACCTTACTTGAAAAGAGATATACTAGCACTGGAGGGGGTGCAGACGAGATCCACTCCGTTGATTGCAGAGTTGAGGGGGTTGGATTATGAGGAGAGACTGAGTAGACTGAGATTATACTCATTGGAATTCAGAAGAATGAGGGGAGATCTTATAGAAACATTTAAGATTATAAAGGGAATAGATAAGGTGGAGGCAGGGAGGTTGTTTCCGTTAGCAGGTGAAACTAGGACGAGAGGGCATTGCCTCAAAATAAAGGGAAGCAGATGTAGGACTGAGGTCAGGAGGAACTTCACCCAAAGGGTTGTGAATCTGTGGAATTCCCTGCC